GTATGGAGAACTCGACACTATTATTCACAAGTGTAGCAGTAATTTGTCGCTCCTACCCTTCCATCGGAGCATTGAGCCACATCACACAAAGTATTGACGCGTATTTGGATCCGTCCACCACTTGGACCATCCCAGACGCCTGCAGATTCGGATCTGTGCGACTCCTCGACCGACTCGCCGCACGAACTGCGACCAACGCGGATAAAGAGGGAAATTTAGAGCGAGAATCGTTTGCACTTTTTTAGGTCAATACAAGTCCAAATACACGAGACTTATGCAAGATTACGACCTGTACAAGTACATCACTAGCTTGAGTGGGGTCAGCGTATGTCCTGACACTGGCAAACCGATGATGGATGATGACGTGTGGGGGCAACTTCTGGAGTCAAAACCGAAGCAACGTGCCAAACTCACAGCATTTCGGCAAAATGGATTCCCACACGCGACGATCTGTTCCCTGATTGCCGGTAAGGTTTGCATGCACCATTGTTTCTGGCATTTCTAATGTTACGCTGGTATTTATTGGTTCAGGGGATGCTCGTGCTACCGGATCCCACGCAACTACTGTGACAGCTTTGGCAGCAGGGCTACGCGACTTGGAAGCGAGTCATGACTCCAGTGATGAAGATGAGCAATCTGTTACAACATCGACCGGTGCTGCACAATCGATGAGGCCTTCAAGCAATGGAGAAGGAGTAACGATTCGCACAAGCCTCCCCCCAACCCATCACGAGCGCGTGGACAGGATCAAACGCATTCGAGGGGGTGCTTGCAAGAGCAATCGAGGCAAACGAAAGCGAAAGCAAGACGACGACGTTGCCAAGGCGCTGACGTCACTGATGCGGGTGACCACCAAGTACATGAAGACGAAGATGGCTGCGTACGACAAAGAAAACGATCCCTCCGACGAACTGACGGGCTCCGACATCCAGCAAGCGTTGGTATAACCGCTTGGAAGATGCGAGCCAATCCATATATAACGTTCGTCTATCTGCTTCACATGCAATAACCAAAGGACATCACCGACAATGACAGAAAATGTGATAGCAGTCGAAATAACGTGCATGACCAGGATTAAGTTATCGGTACGAGCATACTCGTTTAGGCGAGAGCTAGCGCTCACATAAAAATCCAGCATTACATCTCTTCATCACTACTGATTGTCGACAACGATTCGTCGCTATCTGTTAGCCACGAGGAATCGCTCATATCACCGCTGTTGCGGATGGGTTCTGAGCTGTTTAAGCTTTCAAGTTCGCTGTCATCACCACTACTTTCGACGTCATCATTTATAACTGAACGGTTGTCTATCTCACTTCCATCGACACTGAACAAATCCTCCTCCGACTCGTCACCAATGCTGGTCTGCATCCCCTCATATTCCTCCCACATTGTTGACGACATCCAATCACGCCACGAAGCCCCGCTTTGAAAGTCAAAACTAATAGGTTCATCGTCTTGATCGACCGGCTGATGCAGCTGATCGCCTTGACCAATGCTCTGAAAATCTTCACCCAAATCAGTCTCATCAAACTTCCGGATAAAGTTGTGCACGCACAAGCATGCAAAAACCGCCGCTTTGATATTAAAAAACTCAAAATCCATGCACGTGCGAAGAATCTTGAATCTGCGCTTGAGAACACCAATAACGCGTTCGACGACATTCCTTGCCTTTGAGTGTCGAAGGTTAAACAGCTCTTTTCCGTTCTTTGGCCTCCCGGAAGCCTTCGACCACTCTTTGAGATGGTAGCGGACACCTCGGTATGGGGTTAGCACCTTTTTGTTCAGCCCGTAGCCGGCATCAGCCAATACGTAAAAATGGTCTGGTACGAGATCAAGAAATTTGCTCCACTGGAGAACCATCGCGTCATGGGCACTTCCTTCAGCTCCAACGTAGGCAAAACACACGTTCAGATTCCAGTCACATGCAATGAGGGCATTGGTCGAGACATATCCTTTGTGGTTGCGAAAACGCTTCACGTCTTCACTTGGAACTAAAACATGGAAGTGCGAGCCGTCGATGGCGCACAGAGCTTGATCGAAATAGGGGTTGCGCTGCTTGAAATCGTCTGGAACTCCCACTGGCATGGCGATGACATCTTGCAAAGAATTCACGATGGCATAAACACCATGTAGACGATAGCGATGTATTGTAGAATAGGCTAAGTTGAACAGAACCTCCTGTGTTCGACATGTTGCTGCTGCTCCAATCCAATTCAAAGTAACCGCTAAAATCTCACGAGGATCCTTCACAGATAGTGTGATGTGCTCACGACACTGTTCAAAAAGCGCGTCAAACGCTTCCACATCTAAGCGGAAGTGGTCACGGAAAAGAAAACGATTCGCAGATGCATGAATCGCGTCGAAGAAGGGCCTACCATCCGAGGTAGAGAGCCCCAATTTACGGACCACTTTCAGATGAGCCTCGGCTCGGGTCTCCCGATGAATTGCACTGAGGCGCGCCAGCGCGATACAAATAAGCGGTAAAACCGTGTCTGCTATCATATAAGTACTATAGATGGAAGGTTAGCAACCGTATGGAGATATTGTGGTAGTTGGTGATTCGTTTGCTTGTCTACACAACGCGACGGTAGCTGACCTGTTCTCTTCAGTGAATATCGTTTAGCGTCGTAAGAGGTCGCTGCTGTCTTCATGAGAGAGATGCTGATCTTAGCTCGCAGCTCATCGGAATACGAGATCAAATCCATGGCCTTACCGAGAGGAAGCGGAAGCGTTTCTGAGAAGAAGATTTTATATGAGTGCACCACACCATTCAAAAGTTGTAGTAAAGTATTCTAGCAAATGTCTTCAAGGTAATATTTTGCGCGGGTCAAGGATATTTTTTTTTATTGAGTGAGCTCCGATTGAGGAAAGTTGCAGGGTAGGTCGAACACGGCCTTATACAGATTTTTGTGTCGCCTGTGATTTTGTGGTGGGCCCGAATGTTTTTATGTGATAAAAACACGTGGTCTTGTGTTTTTCAGTTTTTTGTGGTGGTTTTGGAACCTTGTCCAAGAGAACGGCCAGCAAACAGCCTTAGTGGCCAGTCATCTCATTTCATTATGAAATGCGTTTTCCGGGTGACACGTCGCTTCAACATGGACTTCGATTGGTCTCCGAAATCGATGCAACAGGTCGAGCAGCTCCACTGCAGCCTCCACCACATTCGCATCCGCTTCGCCATGCCGACGATCACGGTAAGCGAAGGCAGCCCGTTGCTGGCAGAGCGCCGCAGCTACGCGCTTAGCTCGATGTCCACGCCGCGTTCGCCCTTCGAGACAGGCTTCCCCACGCTCTTCACGTCTCAAACGCCATCGCCACGGCCGCATCGCCTGGTCTTCAACAAACCGCAGCCCCGCCACCGCGAACTGCACGTGTTTCTTACGCTCACCATGTCCACAGTGGGCGCTGGAATGCTCTCCGTGCCTTACACGTTCCTTCTGGTACCGACATGGGCCGCACTACTGGGTATTGTCATTGTGGGAGTTGGCATGGCACTCACAGCCAACGCACTGCTGCTCGCACACGTGCAACTGGCCCAGAAGGAGGAGCAGCAGCAACATATCGGATCTGGCAGGAGATTCGCGTCCTTCCAGGCCATCGCCGTCGCGGCAGGAGGTGACGCGTTAGGCTACGCTGTGTCCATCATCACAGCTATCGGCATATACGGAGGCTGCGTCGGCTGTGTCCGGATTGTGCGTGACATTGCACCCTTCCTTGCTGTTATGTTCTACCGCATCATATTGGGAGCAAGTGCACAGCCGCTACCGTCAGCCACGGCTCACCAGATCGGGGACTACGTCATGTGGGCCGTATTCGCCTTGGTGGTGTTCCCATTATGTCTCATGAAAAACTTAGCCAAGTTACACATTTCCAGCTACCTGGGGTTTCTATTCTCAGTGTATCTGGTTGTGGCTGTCATTTACCGATCATATCATGCCTTGGGCCCACGAGATAGCGACGATGACATGGTTGATGACAACAGCACTGCAGTGACTACAAGCGCGATCACTGCAGCGGTGGAGGAAGCGGCGGCTGCCGCATCTGCAGCGAAGATGCCGACGGTGATAACTGGGTCAGCTCTGTCCAGGTTTGCCCATGCGATCTCGATCTACAACTACGCGTTCATGATGCACTTGAACCTGGTGCCGCTGTTTATCCAGCTTCGTGGCAGCTTCTCCGAGCCTCTGAAAGAGTCGAAATGGAAAATGTCGAGCTGCATCTATGCGCTCAGCACGTTCTGTGTGGTGTTTTACGCCGTTTTCGGGTACTTTGCAGAGAAGCTCTACACTGTGGCAGTACGAGGCAATGTGTTGCTGAACCTGGAGAATGACCCGTTAATGGACATACCGTTGGTCGCTGTATTCAGTACTGTGGTGCTATCCTTCCCGCTGCTATTCCATCCTTTACGTGGTGTTCTGGAGGAACTCATCTTCACTACCAACCTCGACGGTATCGCGTTTGCCACACGTTTGGGCAGCTCAACGATCCTCCTGCTTTCTCAGGTGCTGCTGGCAATTGTGGTCCCTGGTATCGAAGTTGTCTTTGGCCTCACGGGTGCCAGCACCTGTTTCATGATCTGCTTCGCCTTCCCTATGATCTTTTTCGCGAGACTCTATCCCTGGGAGCAAGGTCACAATGGGAAGCTGTGGATCACTGCTTTATGGATTGTTGTAGCGTTCTTTATGGTAATTGGCATTTCAGCCACGTGGTTTCTGCTCTCGGAAGGTTGAGCCAGATGTATTTTTTTCCCTTTAAAATACTGGTAAAAACACTTCTAGGGATATGCACCATGCAGTTTTAACCACACATTTACCATCCCGACATGTACCCTTGAGTCTCAAGTTGAGAGTCACATGTAGTACTGGCCCAGCATCCTACGATCCTACTGATTGCTTGTCCTGAAGTGTTGGGCCAATTCGAGGCCCGTCGAATATTCTGCGACGCGTTGCCGTGCTTACTGCACTTCTCACTCTTCAATCCTCTCAACAAATCACAAGTCGACTGCAGTCAGAATCAAGCGTTGAAGGGTTTTCTCTCGTAGTGTCCTGGCGGAGGAGGTTGCATGGGGATAGTCATCTCAGACATTAACCATATACGTTCTTTGGATTTCCGGGGAATAATCGGTTAATCGGACGTTTGACTTTCCAAAGCGTTGGTCCACAACTGCTTACCAGTACAGGATAGCGCGCGTCTTCGACTAGGGTCGCTCAGTCCTCTGTCTCTAATACATGTTCTGGTTTCAGAAGAATTGCGTCCCTCGCTGGTCGACGATACACTTGAACGTTTCGCTCTGCTGCTCCGTGTTGCTAAAAGCGGTTTGGATACTGCGGATGAGGATCTGGAGCGTACAGCGACCAAAAATGAGAGATCTGAGCTCATCGGATGAGGATCTAAGGTCGAAAACTCTGCCCAGTCCTGCTCGCCAACCACAGGTTCTTGAAGGGTACTACTTCGATGATGTGTTCTCGAGGACAGCCTCCCCATTTTTACAGAAGGCTGCTTGCCGGGTGCCGGGTTAAGAAGCTGGTTGATGCACAGACGGACACCTTCGAGCTTAGGGCGTTCTGCTAGATCTGGAGTGAGGATCCACTTTATTAAAGCTGTAAACGTCGCACTGAAATTCTGACCACCGTGCATGTTCCCCGGAGGAAATCCCACGTAGCCATTGACAATCGCAAGGTGCTGTACGCCGTCCCGTGGGTGCTCGAACGGGGAGAACGGACCAAATGCCATAGCATACAGAACACATCCCAGCGACCAAACGTCCGCCCGTCCATCGACTGCGTCCACTTGATCCCCCATATCCCACAACTCGGGAGCTCGGTACGGAGCGCTGCTGTATCTTGCAGCGTCCTCCCACATCTTCCTGCAGTCCATTGCTCCTCTTAATTGAACGCGCAATGGAGCGACCGAGCCAAAGTCCATTAACAACGGCTCTATTGGTTCTCCATCACTCACTAAGATATTACCAGGCTTCAGGTCTCGATGAGCAAAGCCCAAAGCGTGCAGTGCAGCGACTGCATCCACCAACTTGGAAAAGAATTGGAGACTCTCGACCTCCGTGAAGGCTGCAGTTCCTTTTCTCGCTGTCTGCTCCAGCAGCGTCTGCAATGAACCTCGAGAGAATAATGGGAAGAGCAAAAGTGCCTCCTTTTGTGCATGACCCTGAAGTCTCCTCATTTACGCAGCCTCGAGCGGCAGTACGTTGTCATGTTGAAGTTGTCTCTGGATCCGCTCCAATTCCTCGCCGTCTGTCACGCCGCGTGTCCACTTGAGTGCGAAGTTGCGGCCGTCTGTGAGATGGAGTGACGGCGGGGGCGGCTTGGGCAAGATGGATACTGTGCGAGAGTGTCTGTGTCCGCCCCATCGTTGGATTCTTCAACAGTCAACCCACTGCTAAAGTTGCTGCAAGCTGCCTGAAGCGTTGGTTGGCTGTGAAGTGCTGCTGAACATTTAGACTTAGTTTCACTATCGGATGGCGTTGTTGGCTCTCACTTTGCTATTTGCTGCACTTAGCCAACACGCCATCCTGTCGCGGCACTTTGCCCGGCAACTATTGTCTTCATCCAGTACCTTATCTCAGACTTCACTATCAACTACCATAATGGTAACCCTACGAAGTGGAGCTGCTACTAAGGAAGCTGCCAGCGATAACAGCTCTCAGGTTGTGAGCCCAACGCGGGCTGGTGCTACACAGGATACTCATGATGCTTCTTTGGATATTACAACTGCGCTCGCAGCGCAGCTCGATGCTGCTGTTGGGGCATCTTCGACATCGACGCTACCGGAAGGCCACCGTATGTTGCTTGAAGCGGTTGCCGTTACTTAAACCGTGGGCACACTGTACGTGTCGCAAACGATGTCTCACAATCGACACCGCGTCTACCAATTACGGATCCTCGATTGGGGAACAATTTGCCGCTGACGGCAATTTCGACGAGTGAAAGGACGAATGCAGTGGATGGAAGTAGTGTACCATCCATCACGGAGCGGACAGAAGAATTCCCTCCATGCAAAACAACAAAACGCCCAGACAACCGAGGCGCCTACTTCTTCGTTGTTGCCGCAGGCTAAAACTGTATTCTCACTTACGGACGTCTCGCTCGACGATCTGCCTGTGCCTCGCCGCGTGCACAAACATCCTGTTATCCAATTGATGAAATTGACGAAGAGAAGTGAATATTTGGATCGGAAAACGGACGTTAGGCTAAACTTCACTATGAGCTCTCTTGGAAGTATGACTTTTGGCTCAGAGCGCTTTGACGAAGCACGTGCCAGCACCGATCTGCAGTATCTTTAGACGTGGGTAGAACGAAGCCGCAAGGCGTTCACCACGCTTGCACTCTCCCTTAGCGTTCAGCTACGGCGTACGCTGGACGTTGAGCGCTTCGAACCCTGCATGGACGCTCCATCCCAGCTCTGGGATGAAATTCGCGCTCACTTTGAGCAAGGCAACGGCGTGAACCCGACATACTTAAAAGCACAGATGTACAATCGCCGCTTGCAGGCGAGCGAGAACGTAGATACGTTTGTCCAAGATATGGAGCGCCGTCGTCGCCTACTGCTGGACAACGGTGGGTCCATGGAGGATTGGGAGCTGGCAGACCTGTTGCTGTCCAACTCCCTGCTAGTGTTCCCACAGCTTGCCATGGATCACACGCTGTGGCTCGGAGAGCACCATCCGAGAGACCTGAGCCTTGCTGCTGCTGTGCAGCGGCTGGGTACTGCTGAGCAGAGTCACCAGCAGCTTCGCCAACAAGGCAGCAACAGTGCGGATAATGGAGCGCACGGACTTTCAGCGCATTAAGTACATGGTGTTGCGGCTCAAAATCAAGGGCTAGGGCGTTCTAATAAGAAACGAAAGAGCAATCAAAAGCTGCAAGCTCAACCTCGCAAATCGGTTAAGCAACTGAAAGCTGATACTGTTTGTGTCAATTGCAAAGCGAAGGGACATTGGTATGGAGATCCGCAGTGTCCTGTACCTATGACACCGGAGCAAACGGCAGCCCGTGCAAAACGCGAAAGCATTGAGAAGAAACGTCGTACAGAAAAGAACGTTCGCTCGTTTGCTGGAGCTGCACTTGTAAGTGACCGTGCGACTGTTGAGCGTGCGGATGAAGACGAAGATAAGATGACAGTTCCGCCTGCTGCCGAATCGACTCCTACTATTGGCCCGCTGCCAGTGGGGGGGCTTTCGTCTACAAGTAATGCTGTACCGTCACGTGATCGATGCGTAGAACTTGTGCAAGAACCAGCTAGAGCTGCGTCTGCTGCTGCTCAGCAGAATGCTGCTACTAGTATCGCGCCAGTGCACGTGGGTGGTTGCGCCGCTACACCCGTGACACTTATGCAATCCTCGGGGACTGTGTGCGCTGTGCAGTCCGAAGATGTGATAAATCGTGCGGAGATTATCAATGCTGTTGGATCGCGTTTGGTGGACATGTATTCCTCGACACAGCCAGGCTGGGAGACGATGACTAATGCTATGGTAGAGAAGGTGTTTGGGAAGTTTGCAGTAGATGCAATTACTGCAGACCGTCGTAAGCAAATTGATGGGCCGTGGTCACCGACATCTCCACCATCGTCGCCCGTGCTACGACAAGGGCAACGCCAAGTCGGATACCTTTCCAGTTACCATGTATCGCAGCAAACGCAGCGTCAGCCTCTGGACGAGCAACAGCAATATGACCGCCGTAGTGCACCTCGAGGCAACGATCGTGGAAGGTCAACAGAGCAGCATCTCCCATCGCCACGAGCCGGTAACTGGAGACGCAACCAATCACCGCGACTAGATGATCGGAGCCAATCGCCATGGCGTAGTCACCGTAGCCCGTCACCACGTCGCCCGGAAGGTGGATATGGCTACAATTCGAGGTGGCGTGAGCCAAGTCCCCCGCGCTACAACTGTACCTATGGGCCAGGGTACCGGTCCGCCTTTGCTATAGGCTCCTCGGGGCCAGGACTAAATATTCCTACTGGTGAACTGGAGTGGATTCTGGACTCCGGCTCACAAGTGAACATATGTGTGGATCTATCGCTATTTGTGAGCTTCCTGGAAGCTACTAATTTGCCGCAACTACTATTCGCCAATGGAACAGTCGAAAGTCCTAGCGTGCATGGGTCGGTGCTGTTTCGTACGATGAACCATGCTACTTCGTGTGTTGAAGATCGACTGCTCGATGATGTGATCTACTCTGCCAAGGCATCTACCAATATTTTAAGCCAGGGCTATATGCAGGAGCTCGGCTATGAGCTATCGTACACTGGTCCAGGCCAGTGTGTTGCGCTGTTGACGAAGGGCGACACGAAACTGCGTTTCGAGCGCATTGACAAGATCTACCGCTTACGCATGAAGAAACCTGACTGTCGCAAAGTCATGACCGTTGCTGGTGCCAAGAATTGTGAGAATCCGATGAAGTTACTGCATAACCGACTCGGACATCTCAACATGCATACCATCAAGAAGATGGTGATCGATGGGGCGAATTTTGGGGTTAAGATCAATGCTACGCAGCTGAGCCTTTATGATTGTGTTGCCTGTCTTTCTGCTAAGTCGCGGAGGATGACCTACGCTAGGGAGCCCGAGCGCGCTACTGCCACACTCGAGAAACTATCGATGGACATTTGCACTATAAACGAGGAGACCGTTGACAGCAAGACTATGTTTCTATTTGTCGTGGATGAGTTCACGCGCTATAAGTGGGCCTTTCTACTTTCAAAAAAGAGTGATGCTGCCGCGCTTGTGATCGTTCTGATTCGCCGACTACACTCGCAGTTTACTAAAAAAACTGCCGTGTTGCAGTGCTCCATTCGGACCAAGGTGGCGAATTTCTGAGTAATGAGCTGAGATTATTCTGTGAAGCTGAAGGAATCTCGCAACGGACTACCAACGCGTATTCCCCTCAAGAAAACGGGATTGTAGAGCGTGCAAATGGAACAGTACTACCGCGTATTCGAGCTGCTCTCGACGCTACGGGCCTCCCCGTTATGCTATGGGGTGAGGCGCTCCTGCACGTGGTGGATACGCTGAACAGATTGCCTACGAAGCCGCTGGGAGCACTCTCACCGCATAAGAAACTCTATGCAATCAAGCCAAATCTTGCTGAGCTACGGACTTGGGGGTGCCTAGTGCGCGCGCATATTGCGGCTGAATTTCGTACACGCAAGGAGAAGTTGAACCCGCGTGCTGTAATGGGCCTACTGCTTCGTTATAGTGTGGAGACAAAGGGGTACAAGTTTATGGAGTTGCAGGAAGGCAAGATCAATACTCACAGATGTGAGCACTTGCAATTTCATGAAGGCTACTCTGTGGATGCAAACTACATTGAAAGCCTATTGCTGAATGCCTACCGCGAGGGCTCACATGATATGCCATATACCATTCCAGTGGTAAGAATCCGCATGGACCTGGACTCGCTTCTGACCAAGCGAATCAGATTGCAGCAGATACGGGAAAGACTGTGGAGATCGTGCCTTCAAGCGCAGTGGAGGTAAATACACAATCACCAGAGAAAGCTGTACAACATCCTGTGTCGCCGAACGAGCTTACGCCGCCAGATCAATTAAGTCAGAATAGTCTTGCTACGCACCGGAAACGCCGACGTAAAGGGGCCAAACGCACAGTTCGTGCGTCGACATCATCAGAGGAGGAAGAGACACTCTCGATTGTTGCTCCACAAGCTGCACCTTGTACTGTTCGACCTCGTCGTGCGACGAAACCGAACGTCCGTCTTCGCGATTATGTGGTTAATCACGTTAGACTACATGCGTCAAAGGTGATCGTGCCAAACACCTACAAGCAGGCGCGGGCCAGTCCTTACTCGGGCGAGTGGGAGAAAGCCATGCAGGCCGAACTGCATTCCCTGCGCGAGCATAACACGTGGAAATTGGTTCGACGCGAGCACGCTAAAGGACATCGAGTGATCACGTGCAGATGGGTTTTTGCTGTCAAGCGCGACGAGCGAGGATTCGTCAAACGCTTTAAAGCACGCTTAGTTATTCATGGGTTCAAGCAAGTCGCAGGTGTGAATTACACTGAAACATACGCGCCCGTGATTCGATTTGAAACTATCCGAGCCGCGCTCTACTACGCGTTGCAGCGTGGGTGGGTCGTATTGCAGTACGACGTCAAGACTGCATTCTTGTACGGTGCGCTCGAGGAGACGATCTTTATGGAACAACCGCAAGGGTTCCAGATGCAAGGATCTGAGTATATCTGCAATCTGCTCAAGTCGCTGTACGGTCTCAAACAAGCACCAAACATTTGGAACCGTACTCTGCATTAGAAGCTTATTGCAATTGGCTTTGAGCGGCTGGACTCTGACTATGGTTTATATGCTAAGCGCATGAATGGTGAGACTGTGCAGCTTCTTACTGTCTACGTTGATGATCTGCTGATTATGGGCCTTCCACCTACCTGTGAAGTGACTGCACGTCAACTACAGGAGTCATTTGAGCTGACAACCATTGGGCAAGTGAAGTATCTGCTGGGTGTGGAGATTTTGATCGACCGATCGCGAAACCAAGTGATTTTCTCTCAGCATCAGTACATCATCAAGATACTCAAGCGCTTTAATATGCAAGATTGCAACGGATGCCGCACACCAGAGGCGACTACTGACCTTGCTATCAAGCAACCACTGAAAGAGGAGACGTTGCCGTACCGAGAGTTGGTGGGTGCTTTGCAGTACCCTCGCGGCCTGACATTGCACATGCTGTGCGCACGCTTGGTACGCATCTTGCTAATTTCGACCACACGCATTATGCCAACGCTAAGCGAGTGCTTCGCTTCTTGCAAACTACCAAAGATTACGGCCTTGCCATGTACATCTTGCCGAAGTCCGACGTCATGGTGTCGGCGTATACTGATGCGGATTATGCAAATGATCCAGTGGATCGACTTAGCGTCAGTGGCTATATTACGGTGCTCGATGGAAACGTGATTTCTTACGCATCTCGCAAGCAAGCTATTAACGCTCAATCAACTACCGAAGCCGAGTATGTTGCAATGTGCGAAGGAACCAAGGACATCTTGTGGCTCGTTGGTTTGTGCGCTGAGCTGCAGTGGAAACACGCGACTCCACTGTTATTGGGAGACAACAAGGGAAGCATTTATCTGTCCGAAAAACCCACAGCAAGACGAAGCATATCGAGAATCGCTATCACCTTGTGCGTCACTGTGTGGAAGACAAACGTATCATGACGAGACATATTAGAACGGACGACATAATTGCCGATTGTATGACGAAACCGCTTGGTCATGTAAAATTTGCGAAGTTCCAATCGCTGATGAAAGTTCTCAAAGTTGTGCAAGGACGAGTTGCTACCGCTGAGAGCTTATCTCCATAATGATAGGACTTCGTGGAGCGAGTGGGAGGCACACGATACTACTGCTATTATTGCCATTACTGCTTCTACTACTGATACAATCCATCTATCGCTGCTGAATGGAACTACCGCGATTTTTGCACCACTGCTCACGAGCGCTATTGAATTCGCTACCGCATTGCAGATCATTTTTTTTACAAGGTTGTGATCCTGCCGTTCGCGATCTTTCAGCCGACTGTCGACAAGATCAAGTGGGAGTGTGAGATGGAGTGACGGCGGGCAAGATGGATACTGTGCGAGAGTGTCTATGTCCGCCCCATCGTTGGATTCTTCAACAGTCAACCCACTGCTAAAGTTGCTGTAAGCTGCCTGAAGCGTTGGTTGGCTGTGAAGTGCTGCTGAACATTTAGACTTAGTTTCACTATGCTGTTCACTCTAACCTCTGCTTATACATTTGCTCGGATGGCGCTGCTGGCTCTCACTTTGCTATTTGCTGCACTTAGCCAACACGCCATCCTGTCGCGGCACTTTGCCCGGCAACTACGCGTTGTCTTCATCCAGTACCTTATCTCAGACTTCACTATCAACTACCATATTGGTAACCCTACGAAGTGGAGCTGCTACTAAGGAAGCTGCCAGCGATAACAGCTCTCACCGTCCCTCTTGACCTTATAGACGTGGGCGAACCCTCCTTCCCCTAGAGCCCCCAGCACCTCGTACACTTTCCCGTTCACGCGTGCAACGGCATTTCCCATCGTTTGCGCTCTTTTAGTAAATAATGGGTTTTACCGTAGTACCCGGGCTACTATTCTGAAGTGCCCTCTAAAAATCGATAATTTTTGAAGGGGGTCACCAAACGAGTAAGGACTTCAAAATATTGCTTATTGGACTCAGCGCAGCTTGGTATCCCTTTCGTGTAGTATTAATCCAGTCTAGCACGTAATCTTCTTCCTGAAGGAGCTACAGTACATGTACATGTAGCGTTGCATCTGGTCGTCGTGGGTTCAAAATTGTAGACGTGTTGTTTTGAAAATGTGCCTTGAAGAGCGAATTTTTATTTATTTGTAGACCGGATTTGTATTTATACTGGGTCTCAATTTGGTACAGGGCTTTTAAACTTTTGAGCACAAGTCAATTTTAGCACCCGGCTTTTAAAATATACAGGGCTTTTATACATTAGTTTTTTTCGCGGACTATTCTCATGATTTGCACCTGCAGAATGGTGGTTACGTGAGCGACTGCCTCCTCCTGTGTGTGTTTGTCTCTCTCTCTACTGATGCTGCTGACCATAGATCGCAGTCGTATGCCATGCTCAACGTCGTCGTGCGCGACAAACTGGGCCAGGTGTTAGCTTGTGTGCTGGACAAGATGGCGACCAACGTACGTGGAGAGAGTAGATACTTGGATACAGAGCTGATGCTCATACTGCTGTCAATGTAGGAAGTCGAGGTGTTCACTGCCGACGAAACGGACCAGCTGAGAGCGATGCTGATGCTATCGGACGTGCAGATCGACACGACGGTCGAAGTGGCCAGGGAAATCTTCCGAGACGCGGCCACATTCGGCCATGTGGATCGCAATCTGCTGCTGTCGCGTGGAGTGGAGAACGACGTCGTGTCTTCCGTGGAAAAGACGTGGAGAAAGAGAGGACGCTCACTAGCCACTCGGATTGCAGCGTTCCAGGGAGTAGAGACACCGGCGTTGACTCTCCAGAAGACCGACTGGCGTCTGCACTTGGAAATGGGGAGCAGCAAACGCAGCGGACAGTCGCAGCCGACGGCCATTTTTCAGCTAGAATTGAAAAATACGAGCGCCGATGAGGTTTGGCGCAAGGCTAGATTGCGTAGGAAGGCACACATTCTAACCCAGAGCTGCTCTGTTCTGCAGGTTGAAAAACTGGACGTGGAGCTATCGCACGCAGAGCTGCGTACGCTATTTCTACAGCTCAATGCCATTCAGGCGGAGTTAGACGCGCCACCAACACCGTCCGCCGCGTAAGCTTACTAATAATATGCAGCAATAGCTACAACTGTACATTTCTACTAATGCCTTGCCCGGCAAGTTCTGGATAAATTCAAAGGCATTAATGACGTACTTCGTAGTATATTCCCAAGTTACCGTCCTGAATACCAAAGTACAAAAGTAACCAATCCACCAATAGACTTGGCGTCAAAGCGTATTCCTTGGTATTCCTGAAGTTATGAGTGCAGTAGGAAGCAATCAGCTGCAATAAATTGCAAGATCATAGTGCATCGCTCTCCGACAGCTCCACTTGCTTGTCTGACTGTGCAACCTCCACGGTCTGCAATCCAGGTATCGTCACGGCTTCACTGGTAAAACTGGAGGCTTCTGTCTTGTCCTGCACTGCGTCTTCATTCTGCTTGATTTCCTTCAGTTGGGTTTCGTGCTCCTCAGCTTCCACTTCCACTTCGGGCTCATCAGTCATCTCTTCCAGCAGTGATGCCAGCATCAGGAACTCGGCCACCACTTCCTTCGGGGTCGTACTGACAGCATATTCGTACGCCTTCTCATCCGATAGCAAACCAACTCGGTCAGCTGTAGCTTCGAGCAGATCGCCTCGTTGGAAGAACCTGTTAATCGTGTGCAAATCTCGTCGCAGCAAGTTCTCTGTGTCAGGGTGTGAGCGATCAACGGCCTGACCGAAATCAATAAGCCAAATGCGCTTCTCGCGGTGGGCGAACAGGATGTTGTACTCGCTCAGGTCGCCGTGAACCAAGTGCGCACGTTGGTACAGCGCTCGCGTGGCCTGCAGGATGTCAGCGTATGTACGAGCTTGTTGCTTGGGGGACAAGTCCGCCAGCACATCCTTCAGTGTCGGCTCAGGCCAGCCATCGGCTCCCACAAACTGCATGACCAGCACATGTTCCTTGCTTACAATCGGAGTCGGGGCGCGGATGTTGCACTTGGCAGCACGAGACAAGTTGCGGAACTCCTTATCCGTCCAGGCTTTGATCTGTCGCCGTTGGTCCTTCTTCTGGAAATTCAGATCGAAACGACGGTCTCCAGTCACGTATTCGTGACGGTTGCCGAACTCGTTCAGCGTGGTGCGGAAGATCTTGACTGCCAGTTGTACTGGTCGCATCGTGGCTTCGTCTGTGCCCATAGCAAAATACACATGAGCCTCTTTGCCGCTCTGCACGCAGCCGTGGACCTCGTCCAAATCTCCTTTGTTGATCATTTTCTGCAGAATCAAAGTGGTGCGTTCGTCCATGACGCCGTCTGCCGTGGCGTGAATCTCGGATTCCACTCGACCGGCGCCAAAGCCCTTCTTCTCGCTTTTAAGCTGGCGTCTCTGATGTTCCCTGAGTGACGTGAAGCCCTTACCACTGCCAGCTCCGTGCGCTGCGTCCTCCATGGATAAGGAGCCGTTGACGCGGGCACGAGCAAGCGCGGCGTCTCCTGCAGCTGCAGCAGGTGTACGCATTAGCACGGAGGGAGCGACTGCACCCTCACCCGAAGCCTCAACATCGAAGTCGAAGCTGTCGGCATTCAGCAGGTCTTTGTTGCGGTCCTGCTCGCGTCTCTCCTTGCTCCGTTCCAGGGTGGTGAAGATGCTGCTCTGATACTCAGGATTGATCTCCCGCTGCAGAGCGTTGACTTCCTCCTCGTAAAGACTTAGAGCCATCGCCTCGTCCATCAGGTCCTGCATGCTCGGCTGCGGCTTCGTAGGTTCCGTCGCCGGAACACCCCACGGACAGGTGCTCGTCATGTTAAATGATCGACTTTAACTCAATTAGGCAAATCTGGGAATGGTTTGGAATGAGACCGTCAGCCCACACACCTTCATTGGCAGGAAAAGAACATTCACTCTCGAAAACGACGCACGTCACAGATTTCTCGCCGCACGTTATTTCTGATTTGGGCGTTAGGTTTTTGGATGAGAGCCAACGCCCTGCTATATGCACACGTACATGCAGCAGCGAGAGCGGAGTTTGAGGCCCGCGCTTTGGGAGCTGGCAGTAAGTTTGTTGGATTCCAGGCCTTAGCACGACGTGCTGGAGGAGCAGCACTGGGCTATTCGGTATCGTTGATCATGGCAAGTGGCGTCTACGGCGGCTGTGTGGGCAACATCCAGATCATCCGCGACTTGACTCCTTTTGTGGCCAAGCTAATGGACGACGGGGTGAGTGAGCTGACTGAGAGTGGGCAAGAAAACGTCAAACAGATCATCATGTGGGCGTTGTTGGCAGTGGTGCTGTTGCCATTGTGCATGCTACGCAAACTGTCAGCTCTTCAACCAACGAACTACGCGAGTTTTTTTGCTCTCGCTCTGCCTTGTGGGCGCTGTAGTCTATCGATCTCTTGAAGGATACAGCCCTGCAACTGTTGAAGCAGCTCTGGAATCTGATCAAACTAACGGAACACAAATGTCTGGTAGTATGGCTACTGTTGGACATGAATTTCTGGAGCGTACCTCAACAGCCTCCGACCTGCCTTCTCTTCAGGGCAACAGCTTCACTCGACTGGCTCAATCGCTTTCCATTTACAACTTTGCCTTCATAATGACACTCAATTTGTTGCCATTATTCGTGCAACTCCTCAAATCCAACGGTGGTAGTAGCAACACGAGAAGAGGTGGAGCAATTAGAAATCCCACGACGTTCGTGACAGCCCCCTCGCTCTTGGCTACTCGTTCTCAAATGACGAGATGCATTTTTGGTGCTACATTTATCTGTGCAGCACTCTATGGTGCCATGGGCTGTGCAGCGTTCAGTCTCTATGGTGACCACATCGACGGAAACATTTTACTGAACCTGCAGAGCGACCCAGTCATAAAATTCCCGCTGGTTGCGACGTACTTGGCCGTTCTGTTGACGTTTCCATTGCTTTTCCTTCCGCTGCGTTCACTCGTTGAGGAGCTTCTGACTCAGATATTCAAATCGGACGATTTCGAGCATGAGCAATTTCCAGATGAAAAGAAGAATGATGGTCAGAGTGAATGTCCTCGTCTTATACGACTAGTGATAGTTGTGGCACTCCTGTGCAGTCAGCAAGTCATTGCGCTTAATGTCTCTGGTATTGAGGTCGTGTTCTCGCTGATGGGGGCAACTACACCTTTGCCAGGCCAAGATGGTGCTACCACCGGATTTTTTTAAAAAAAATGAAAACAAAAATTTGATTACGAAAAAGTAGCACTAAAAAGGAAATTCAAAGTGGCGAAAACGCAGAGCAAAGTGGTCCCCTCAGGCTGAGCTGCAGCTAGGTGCCGTACTGCATGTGTTCCATGCGCTCCGCGGCAGCAACGGAATGCTGGCAATGCAGTGTCAACCTGTTAGCAAGGTGCGTGTCGATACATCCGATGCGGCGTCTCGCCGCGCGTTCCAGTTTCTCCATCCGAGCAGCCGCAACCGTCCCGCGAGGATGCTCCACAACCAGCCCTTTACGGGGGCAAGGCAAGGTCGGCCTTGATCTTGGCCTTAAAAGCACTAAAACACCCTGTAGCACCAGTTCAAAAGTCGGTTAGTATGCCATTTAAAAAAATATTGTAATACAGTATACTGCGTACCTTGAATGGGGTTACATATTGAAGAGTACGGAGCCAGCCGTACAAGTACCAAGTCGGCTCGCTCAGCGACGTGTGCTTCCGTTTGCTTCCACAAATCGACGTGATGTGGTGGCGGGGATTCCGTTGTGGGCGGCCACAGGCGTCCAGTCACCGCCGACACGGAGACAGTCGAGGACACGAGCTCTGGCAAATGCGAGGTGCGGGGCTCTGGGCATCTTGGGGTAGGTAGAGGCTTGGCTTGGTTGAGGGCTTGGGAAAAGATTGATAAGAGAGAGCGAGGAATGGCTCGCGCACACGCTCAGGAGGTTTGAACTGCGAATAAACTACTTTGAAGTACGGAGTGCGTTTACTCAACATATTTGTGAAGTGACTCTAATGTAAAAATTGACAATTATTTTTAAAAAGGTTTAGTTACTTCACCACTTTGAAGTGGAGTAGCACCATCTTGACCTGGCAAAGGTGTAGTTGTCTGGTTATCTGCTACGTTTCCCTGTAATTGCCTTCACAAACGTCTACCCTTGGCGTCGCATTCGTCACGGGTTTCTTTGGCTTGCAGTGCTGTGGACAATCGTGGGCATTGTGACCTTACAAGGCGCCACGTGTGTCTGGCTGCTGCTCACATCGTAGCTGATAGGAAATAACTATGAGAGCACAAGTAGCCAATGCTTCCATATTAACTGCGTGGCTACGAATACCAAGGACCGCATTCCCAATAAACGAATTTATCTTCCACATCCAAATGTTGCATATGCTCGCTCATCCATTTGTTTGTCGCCCAGTCCGCTCGATTGACTGAGAAGCTAGCACCTTCGAGCGCGCCTCCGAATTGTTCAAGCAGCCACCGAGCCAGTCCAACGAAACGAACTTCTAGATCTCCCCATTCATCGCGTAAGAAGCAAACGCCTTCTTCACAAATGTCGCGGTACTTTTCGAACAGAAATAAAATCACGGGGATGTGATGCCCCAGCACTGCGTCTCTCATTGCACTTGGCGAGCACTCTTCTACTCCATGAACATGAAGCCATTCAAGCACTTGCAAGTGCCCACCAGCTGCAGCCATATCAACCGTATCAGACGTCAAACGCTCACTCTTAGTCGAATGTAGCCATTTGAGAACATCCAAACGACCACCTGCCGCTGCAAAACACAGCGCCTTAGCTGTGTATCCTTCACTACGGTTGCCATCAAGCCACTTGATCGTCTCCAAATGCCCGCCGTAGGCCGCCCAGTCCATGGCAGCAGTCGTGCAGCCTTCCGATCTGTTCAAATGTAGCCATTTTACCACTTCCAAGTGACCCCCTTTGGCTGCCCAATCCATGGCTCTCTCCGTACATCCTTCGTTGCGATGTGAGTGCAGCCACTGAACAATCTCCAAATTACCATTTCCAGCAGCCTTCTCCATGGCAGACACGTCGCAGCCCTCGTCACGATTTGAGTGTAGCCACTTGGCAATTTCAAAGTAGCCATTCTCAGCAGCTCCATTGATTGCAGACACCGAGCATCCTTCCGTTCGCTGACCATGAAGCCACTTGACCACATCGAGAAATCCTGCGGCAGCAGCTCCATCCATAGCAAGTGTAGTTGCGGGGCATTCGTGGTAGTCCAGCCACTTGACAACATCCAGGTGTCCTGCACTTGCCGCTTGATCCATGCAGTCCGCAGTCAGCTCTTGCTCTCCGACTTCTTCGTACAGCCATTTTAACACGCTCAGATGTCCACTGGCAGCTGAAATGGATACAGCACCGGATAAAGAGTCCACCAGGTTGTTCGCATGTATCCACTGGAGAAATTCCAGGTCGCCATCCTTGGCTGCAGCATCGACACAATCCGTTCGCGGCAAGGGGTCGCAGTGTGTTGCCAACCACTTGAGGATATGACAGCGATGGCCCTTGTACGCTCCTCGTAGCGCAGCACTTATTGCAGCTCCGTGTAGCGATAGCAGCCACTTCACAAGTTCTAGGTCTCCTTTATCGGCAGCGTCATGTATCAGTCTCCAAACCGCGTCTTCGTCTGGGATTGAATGCTGTCGCAGCCACTCGATCACGGCGCTCTGCTCTTCGCGGATGGCTTCACACCACTCCATGCCTCCCCAATGAACTCTGCTCTGGTGCTCTTCAAGTAGCCACTTCAAAACCTGCAATTGTCCACTCGCAGCAGCAGCGTTCGCCGCGGAGGACAGCGTCCCGTGGGGCATGTAGGTTTCTGCAAGCCAGATTAAAGACGTCAAGTCTCCACGCTGTGCAGCTTGTACCACGACGCCATTAAATTCCCAGTCGCGATACAGCGATTCGATTGGACGTCGACGATTTCCCAGCAGTCGCATGCAATGCAAACTCGATGTGCGCTCGTACACGTCCGATAGAGTCCACGAGCAGGTGCGGTCCAAGAAGCCGTCGATTCGTTGAGCCACATGCGGGAGTTGTTCTCCACTGCGCTTTACGAGACACTCGCGGTACACGACGAGAACGCTCGTCCAAAGTAATGGGTCCTCGAATAACTCCATTTTTCGTATTAAATGGCAGAATCAATTCCTGGGAGCGAAAGTGATTGTGAGCCGAACTGAACAGCATAGGATACGACCAGTTCAAATTGTGTCACAACATTATCAGAGAAGGCCAAACTGACGATCTGTTGCTTTGCCTACTTTGAAGTCTGTTGGCTTTAGTCAGTACGGACATGGTGACAGAAGACAGGGCGAGTATGCTCAGGGTGGACAATTTTAGAGCTACACCGAATTTAGTCAAAAGGGCACGAATTCAGAAACAGGCGCTCGATCATACTTCCAATAAATGGAAGCTACTTCGCACGGAGGATAAGTTAGAATCACTACAGTTGATTAAACCCACACTCTTATGGTGGTGTTGGCCACTGACAGGAAGAGCAGCACACTACGAATTTAGGAGCCGACACGCACCAACTGTTTGGTAGTCAAACCCTGATCATATGCGCGGAGCACCTGCAAAGAGGACTTCTACACCAACTCAAATGAAGATACCACCAACATGGATCCGACATTATATGTAGAGGTTTATACACAGCGTGCATTGACGGCTCCATAGCACTTTGAAGCAATCATAATTGGAGGTATTTCTATGATTGTAGTCGTCACTACAGAGCTTTAGGAAGTTGGATCATTTGAAAAAGGCTAGGTAATGCTTGTATGACGTCAAATACAAAGATGGTCCGTGCCCACTGAGCAAGTTTGCTAAGTTTCACACAATTTTTTGCAGCACAGAATTACGTGTACATGCACTATGGCTGTGTGATCATGTAGGCTGTGTCGTGAGCCGCAATGACGATCCAGAACCTGTACCCGCCTATAGTTCGACGTATGAGTAAATACTGAGGCATTCTAGTTACGTAGAATATGTGTAGTCGACAACAGAGTCATGTGTGCGCAACGTGCTACGTGTAACGTTAACCTTGCTAATCGAACGACAAAGACCTCAGGATATCATCGTTGACAGTACTTGGTTTTTGCATTATCCTTATTCAATGAGAGGCCGCTACAAACAATACGACGCCATTCTAGCGACGAGAGGCTTAAGGGAGCAACCTCTTGGGGTCACGCGGGAACATGGAGGACTTACTGATGTTGCCCAGACCCAAGTACAACATGACCACACGCTCCAGACCAATACCACCGCCACCGTGGGGTAGAGAGTCAAGACGGAGAGAGTAGATGTAGTTGCGCATCGACTCCTGAGGCACACCCAGTTCGTCCATACGCTCCATCAGCAGCTTGGGATCGTGCACATGCTGAGCACACAAGACCATCTCCTTGCCTCGGATCATCATGTCGTACGAGTTGCTCCAACGCTTGTCCGTCGGGTCTGGCATCGTGTAGAACGGACGCACAGCCAGCGGGAACTTGTCGAGGATGTAGAAATCTGTGTCGTATTTCTCCTTGATGAGACGACCCAGCCACTTCTCTTTCTCTGTGCTCAGATCGTCTTCAGGTCAGCGCCAGCCTCCTTCAGCATCCTGACACCTTCCTAGAAGTTGATGATAAGCGACGGCTTGTTGTACTTGAGCGGCTCGAACGGGTACTACTCGTTGATAGAAGCCAATTCGTTGGCGTAACGTTCCTTCAAGCCATCGAAAATGTAGATGTACAGGTCTGAGAACACCTACAGCACCTTGTGGTAGTGCGCCTTAATAGTCATCTCCAGATCCAGACCCACGAGCTCGCACATGTGACGGTGCGTGTTCGAGGTCTCAGCACGGAAGCCCGGGCCGATCTCGAACACGCGCTCGAGAATAGCAACATCACACGCCATATGCTTGTACGTCTGCGGACTCTGAGCTAAGGTAGCGTCCTGGTCGAAGTACTTGAGTGTGAAGTAGTTGGTTCCACTCCCCGAGGCGCCACCGACCAGCTTGGGCGTGTGGATCTCCACGTAGTCGCTGGATGAGGAATGCACGCACGCGTGTCCAGCAACAACCAACGAAGTGCACGTGGGCCATCGTCAGTCACCGCAACCATGCTCAATCTCGGCCGTGAATCTGTCGCAAATTAACGCGCCGCTGTTTTTGAAACTCTCAACCGGAAGAAAGCCACGGTACCAATTCTTCTCCCTCGCAGATTGACCTCGTTTCGAAGATTATTATGACGCAACCACGCGGATCAACAGCTTGTAACGATGGGTTCACTCTGAAGAGCTGAATGTTCAACGTGCTAGCCAAGTACAAGCCACTTCAAGTACTCTGAGAAGGCTCGTACGGCTTCGTTTGCGCGGAGACGGACACGGAGGCCAAGAAGAACGTTGCTATCAAGAAGATCACGCCTATGGAGGATGACGAGTGGGACGCCAAGCACACGTTACACGGACTTCGGACTCTCTCGGTACATCCCACACAGCGCTCGTACGGACGGCGTCACGTCTCTAACCGATACGCCGCGTCATGTTGGCGCCCTCGAGAGTGTACAATGAGACGGTGGATATGTGGTCCATTGTCTGTATCTTCGGCGAGCTATTGAATCGTCGACCCATGTTCCCTCGCTCCGACTTCCTGGATCAACTATCTCGCGTCTTCAGAGCTCTACCCGTTCCAGTCTCTTCTAGCTTGGTACACACGCCGAAATGTTCTCAAGCCGCGAATTCTAAAGTGAATGAAAAAAGCATAGCCAATGTATTCATCAGCTGTTACGGATGTAAAGGTCCAACTAAAACTGCCCTGTATCCAGCTCATGTAAAGGCTGCAAGCAGATCCATCGGGATGCAGATAGGCATGCGGCTACATTCGACGACGCTTGGTCTGGATTCTGGACTCTTGCGCTCTGCGTGTGGGAGTTCTTGATCTTGCAGATCTGCGCAAGTTGTGGGTAGACTGTCCGTACACCGGTGTCTGCACATTCAATGCCTGACGTGTGCTGTTCTCTTCAAATCGTGCAATATCAGGATCGGTCTGTGCTACTGCAACTTGCAGCTCTTCATTTACGTCTGGCAGTGGATCTGCCGGTGATGGAACGACAGGACCTTGCTGCAATGGTACCGGTACCTCCACTGCATTCTGCACTTCACGCAGCTGTGCTACCGGGTTTGGATGGTCGTCTACCAGAGACTCGTTCGCTTCCATGGAAGCAGCAAGTGTAGGTGGCCCGTACATAGCACCTTGAGGCTCTATTGGGCCACCTTCGTTATTGTCTGTATCTAAGTCGCAATTCCCTATCCGCCGAGCTGCAGTGCGCGATTGTTGTGCCGGCCGCACAAATCTTTGCGAAGGAGCTGGCATACCTGGACATGCCAGCCCAGGAAATTCGGTAGCCTTAACAGAGTGTAGGCATATCCCAGCTTTCTTAAAGCACAGACACGAACATGTGCGTGCAGTAGCATCAACAATCCATCCACCGACGGGCAAGTTGACCCAGCTAATTCTAGCGTCGTTTTTGGCCTCGTACGTACACGGCTTTTTAGGATTTGCAGCAAGAACATGCACAGATTCTCCTGGCTCTTGTAATGAGCTCGTGGGAAGCGGAGATGGTGCGACACGAACCAGAACTAAATTGTTGTCTCGGTGAATCAATTCTGCAGTCATGACCTTTTTTTATCAGTCCTTCTGTAAGCAGCCAGTAAACGTTTTGATACAGTAGGCTGATCGCAAAAGGGTTGCATTGAGGCGATAAACGAAATTCGTGACAAATCCAGGCGGACAACAAGCTCTGCCGGGTTAGCCCGTTTGCTGTCATTCACTAGTTTTAATGTGTAGTGGTACTGCTCAAGCGGGTTGTTAGTAGCCGCGTACCCTGTGGGGGTACGATAAGCTTGCCAGCGTGAAAAGCGGGCGCCTAGTATCCACTGCGAAATAATGTGATTTGTCACACGTCGAAACCGAGGACATATTGTACCCGCTCCACGCCATGACCTCACAAAAAACTCTCGTTTACGCAGATAGTGCTCTTCATCGGTAGCATAGTGCAAATCATACAGATTTCGAAAAATCAACTGAACTGATATCCCATCCAGCTTTGATTCTTGCGTTTGTCTTTGTACATTTTGTGTAACATGGAACCAGCACATTAGGACCGTGCTATCAGGCAATTCAGTTGTGCAGGCATTGTACTGAGCTTTGTCAGCGTCCATCATGACAAAGTCGGGCGAAAATTGCCCGTTAAACAATTCCAGAATCACACGCTTTAAAAACGCCAAGTACCAAGCAACGTCTTCATTGCGACGTTGTGATGTACAGCAGTATGGAATTGGCTGGAATCTTCCAACACGATCTAAAATACCCACAACAGAAACAGGGTATTTCTGCTTTACGCAGTCGTGCGTAGTGTCTAGATGAAGAACTGTTGAAAGATCCGGGTTTTGTTGCACATCCACATAGCTCTCAAGTTGTCTTGTACATGTTAACCCAATACGAAATGGATTCCCTAGCGCACCGGTGCCAAGAGCTGGTTCAACTACACCATCCACCACTTTGGCATCGCAAAAAACTAGCAAAGAATTTGGATCTTGATCCCAAACTCTACGAGAATCTTCACAATCATACATGCATTGTCGACAAATTTCTAGCACAGGCTCCATTGAGTCCGGCCGATTTTTGCGCCGCCAACTTTTTTTGATAGTTCTGCACCTTGGCTAGCTCTGGAGCGGGCCCTATAATGCGCCGGTCTCTTATCTCACGACAAAGAAACGAGTACAAAGCTTGGGCCACAATTGAAGGTGTGTCTTCCAGCCTCGTGTCCAGATAGGCTTTCATTGCAGGATTTAGCCTAGCTGTTGTAGGTGAAGGCGGCGCATCTTCAGCCATGATGTGTACGCCTTGCTCTAATACAATTTTGCCGTCACTTTCTTGGCATTCTAGTAGCTTGTACCAACAGCGGCAGGCTTCTCCAGACGCCTTGCAACGCTTGGAGGTACACTTTGTAACTATGTAACGCATTTCATGCCAGGTAGTCGCTAAGTTGTCCTCGTAGCGAGAGATGTGATCTATTGTGCAGTGATGTAGCTCACTAGTCGGTCGGGAAAAGGCTGGCAGACCCGCTAAAAAGTCGCTATACGAAACAGTGTCTCCTGAACTCCACACTTTAAGCCATGGCAGGCGTCCAACGTGACCGCCGCGTTCATCATCCATGCTGCGTGCTTGAAAACGAGATATATTCTTGTGTTATAGTGCTGTAATTAATCCAACGGTGTTGTGAAAATGCTATATTTATTTGTGGATTCAACGATGCTTTTTGTGAAACCTCCCATATTTTTAGTGTGGTGTGCAGTTCCTTTTTTATGGTGAACCTTTCTAAATAAGCATTGCAAATGATTTTACTTATCGTGCGACCCTCAAGATAATCTCCTTCGCACGTGGTGTCTTTGCAACCTAGAGAGAGCTGAATTCTGATATAGCTGAAGCTATTGTTTTTATATGCAACTTTTAGAAAACGCTGTGTTCTAATTGAAAAATTTAGTAATGATTTTCAGGACAAGCAAAATGCTAATTGCGCCAATCTAGTACGCCGTGCTTCTGTCTGAGGAATAATCTCCATTTTCGGGAAGCATTTCTTTTCGTTGTGGCATCGCCGTTTCAACACGAAGCTGTCGTCGTTCTCGATAGCGTCGGGCTCTCTCGCGTCTTGCATTATCTCTGTCCCATCCAATTGGGTACAAATGCCGTTGATAGTTTGCGTAGTTGGCCCCATCATTGACACGAAGTGGGTGCACCCGCACGTGAATGTTCGTCAATGTCACGCATGCTCTGAAGTTCAATTCGTAATTGGGCTCCTGCCATCTATACTTGTCGGAGCAGACAGCCCACAGCGTGCACAGTCTACCAAAGTAGTTTTTCACTATGATGCTGTCATGTGAAATTGTGGCATTGGTCGCCTCTTGCTCAAGCGTAATTGGTACTGATTGCTGGCGTCGAATTGTGTACTATCTTCATAAATGGTGCGAACACCGGGGATCTGGCCGTGAGTTCTGTGCTGCAGACTTGTATCCCGACAACGAGGATGACTCGCAGAGAGAAGGTATGACTCAGAACAAAAAGATAAACAGGAAACGCCGCAAATCGTCTCAGAGCGATGCGTTGTCATCGATTGCTGAAAGTGTTGCTCAGATTGTTGCTAATCAGACCAGTGAGGCGCAGGAGAAGACCTGGGCAGAGCATACATTGCTTCTTCGAGATCAAAGGGTTGCACACAAGCTGGAGATGCTGTCTGGAAAGCTGCAGCGTACGACGGAAGAAGGAAAACGTCTTGCGAAAAAGGTCCGTGAATTTGAAATTTATGAGCACGACGATAGTGACGATGAAGGAGCTCACAACTAAAAAGCGAAAAAAAAAATTACAGCGCAGATCAATGACACGGAGCTGGAGATTATTAATCGAGCGATTGGATAGACATCGTTAGTGGAGCAGTGAGCTCATGTCGGAGGCAATTTTCTAATGAAGTTGCGGTCGACTGAGTCCGAAGTTCGGGATGTGCTCTCCAATAATTTGACGCAGTATTTGGCCTCGTGCCTCAGTGCGAAGGTCGATGTTAATGTCCTCGGCGGTATTATCGGCTGGTAGGTAGGAGCATTTTCGCAAGCTGTTGTATGCAGCCAAAATTTCCCGTTGCATTACAGTGACGTCTTTGCTTTAATTCTTTCGTTAATGCAAAAATTGTGAAGCTTCATGCATGACTTGATCACGCTGCTCACATTTTAGAAATCAACGACCAAGAGCCTTTTAAAGATCTGTCACTTATTTACAAGCAAGCTAAATGCCATCTCAATTCTAATGCGAAGTTGAGTGAGGTAAAAGTTTAAGTCGGAGTGCATCTTTGTCTTCAACTCAAGCTTGTTGTATGGGACCAGCAATGCGTCCGACAGCGGATAGGCATTGTCGCCAACGCAGTAGTATCCAGAAGGCAGTAACATGATCTCATCGCTCAGCGTCCACTTCCTGAACGCTATTGAGTCGCCAACCTTGCCCGAAGAGTCGAATCAGCACCCCGTAAGTGGCAGAGAGAGTCGTAAATTACTTGGACGTTCAGCCCATACATCTGGGTGTGACCTGAAAAGAAAGCAGCAACATCAGGCACATCGGCTTTGCTGGGGGCTCAAATTTGGCAAAGCTAACCGTCCAGACACCCCACGCATCCAGCTAAAATACCGTCCTTGCTGATCTTTGCGAACCCATCTGCAAGCTCTTGGCGTCGAGTCGCCGACTCTGATGGTGACCGTATGCGCAGCTCTTCACACACACACACACAGATTGATCATGGCGTTCTTGGTAATATCATAGAAGCTCAAGCGTGAAACACTGGCAAGACCGCGTGTTGTGTGATAATTACTTCCAGCAAGCCACGAAATTGTCTTCTGCAGCGTATTTTCTGGTATGATGCTGTCGGTCCCTGTACGCCGTTCTGACTACATCTCACTGCGAAGTAGAGCAAACCTTATCAGTAGAAGTAGTCTCTCAAATGATTCAACCTCCATGCGATAGCATTGCACAAACACTCCCTCCCAGAGTAGTGTTTGTTTGCGTAGATTCCAGTCAAGTCTCTTACGATATACGCAAATTGAAGCCTCGGCAGGAAGGAGTGCGGTAGCTGCCGTGACAGCTCCCAGCAAGATGCGCTGCCTCTTCCTTCCTTCGTTCACTCTCTTCATCCAAGACACTAGCATCTTTTGAAATCTTTTTCCGTGCTGGAGCGCCCGTACGATCCCGGTCGTCGCGCGATCCGAGCCACGGGTCGTCTATATTGCAAATCACGTATTCGCCGCATATCCTCTACTATTTCTTCGGCCAAAATAAAGCGCGACAATCGGATCGCGACCTCGGTTCGGAACGACCGTTAGAGCTACAGCGAATTTAGATGGACCTTTGCAGAATTAATGGGAAGCTTTTACCCACTGGTACAGTCGAGGTGAGCAGCTTGGGTGCATATTAATTATTAGCACAAAGAAGCAAGCGTTTCCACAGAAAGGATGTCACTTCTGCATACCGGTACCGTATGTTCTGGAATCAGATAAGGTAAAAATATATATCTTCGTTTGGTGTGGGAAATAAACATGAATTAGCTAGAGTCATTCAAAAGCAGACTCTAAATTTGGGGATCGTGAGGTCTCAAAGCCTCAGTTTGGAAAGCTATTTTGGTAAACCAGAGTAACTTTTCTGCGGAGCGGAGGAAGGATCGGAATGACTTTCCATGAATTGAAACCAGGTAATTTATTTGCTCGGTAAAAGACAAAACCAGAGAAGATCATTACAAATTCAAAGTAAATCAGAAATCGATCATGGTGTATGAAGCAAGGCGAAGCAAGGGAATTGTGTTTTCCACATCAAATTATTATAATCGGTATACCGACTTCATACTGGTATGAACTCCTCGTCGCTTGCTGCCAACCGTTTCCTCAATTTGCATTTTGAAGAACAAGTTGCAACAGACAAGAAATCAAGATTTTACGACTCAAAATCGCAATGACAACTCAATTTTTAAATAATTATAATGACAGACAAAATAAAATAATTTAAAAATAAACATTTATAATATATTTTAATTAAATTAATGTTGTGAAGCCTGTATCTCCAGCCAGGAGAGCTGACGTCATGGACGTCACCGGCGGCGAAGAGCCATGAACCACCGTCTCAGCACGCGGTAAGACGGATCCCCTTCCACTGCGGACGACCAAGCGCGCGGAGCGACCGCCGGCGCACCGACTGACGCTCGGAAGGGCAAGAAGAAGGCGACCAAGCGCGTCGCTCCGACGAACGCGGCCAGCACCGGGCGCAAAAAGGCCAACGAAGGTGCGGACGACGCGTCAGACCAAAACCTGGAGGACAGGGCGGCCCCACCAAAGCCGAAAAGGACGAGGAAGGCCGCAGCACCTACGAAATCCGCGTCCACCGCCGAGCTGCACCTACATGCTTCGTGTCCGCTTCGGGCTCACGCGAAGTATTCGGTCTCAGCTTGCTGATGGCGTCCTTCGAGCCACAGCGACGGGCAACGTACCTATGCCAACGGCTCTCGCGGAAGCCAAGTCTGACGCGGCTACTAACTGCAGCCCCACGGCTTTTGAGGCGGGTGTAACAGCTGAGCGGTGCGCTCTGCGCGAGAAGGTAGCTCGTCTGTGCGTACTGCGCCACCAATATCGCAGCCGATGGGACGAAACTCCTTCATGCATGGCGACGGCACCCAAGTCGAAAGAAGAGCTTCCCCCGCTAGACGTACGCTTCCTGTCAAGTACAAGCTTCCCACATTGTTCCAAGAGGCCGAAGAACGACTACGACCCACCGCGAACCGGATGTTCAGACACTTCGGCACGGACACAGGTAAGAATTTTGCCGCGCGACCCAGAATTATTCTCCGAAGACAGCAGTTTTGCTCATCGAACCCATTCCTCGCCGGCAAAAGTGTTCGATATCCTGCCACCTGGCATCGCCAGTTTCAGCGGCACTCCCACTCCACAGAAGTGGTTTCCGGATATGCAGCGTTCTTTGAATATACCGTCCGGGACTAACCATCCAGCCACCCACGGCCATACAGACTCCTTTGACTATACAGTCCGGGTTGACCACTCAGTCACCCACGGCTACACAGCCTTCGACTAAACGCTCGCCCACGTATACGCCGTGCCCAGATGCTACTCAGTCAATAACGGATAATATGTGCGCTAGTGACGAGATACCACGCGATAACGTGATAATGCGATAAATTCAAAGCCGATATTAAGTCAACTAATTCAAGCGGGCGGTCCCACGATATTTGCAGCGCATCGCGGAGATATGGTATCCAGCCTCCGGTCCAGGATCATCGATGTTTGTTCTGTCGTCTAAAAGCAAACCGCATATCGGTTACATGATAATGCACGCCGGCGACGGGACCGGAATCGAGAAGCTCAAGCGGCTGAGCTCACAAGATTCATGGCCAGACTACGCATCAAACCATCAGAACCTGAAACACCCGTACAACGCGAGAAGGGCCGAACAGCCCTGTGCACCTGCTCATCAAGCACTGAAACTCGCGCTGTCAGAGCTCGCACGCCGATCGGGCGTCATCGTTACCGGCGTCCGTGGAACTAGTCCGGAGGCAGACAGAAGGCGACAATCATCCAAACAAGAACTTAGCTCCGACGGTCCTTGACGAGCTGTGCAAGTAACACTAATATTTGGACCAGCTGCAGAAGATCGATCGGGAAGGCGACGAAGCGCACCTTAAAGAGACTCCGTCTCGGTTGTCAGCTCGTCCAACGAACCAGGGCTCAAGGCTAGTCCATTAAAGATCGGCCCACGACCGCCACTCTGACGCTAGAGTGCAGTGAGGTGTCGCTATGTCAAGCGATATTACGGTGACATGCCAACGCCCCAGAACGCATCAGACGCTCAAGAGGTACAATACCCCGTACACCACGTACACCCATGACTGCCCTTCACCGGTTTGAGATAGCCACGTCTCTCTGGGCTAAGCCCCGTGGTGCGCACAACCTGCACCCCCCCCTCCTCCCTTACAAAGACCCAGCGAGCTTCAGTAGGGAATAATGCCCCTAGTGGTGGTTGAGGAGCCCTCGTCCACCTGATCGTGGCCTGCGCCACTGGACCTAGGTTCCACGGGAAGTCTTCTTCACGAAAACTGGTGAGGGACATACACGCTGGTAGTGTCCATGTCCATCACATTCGTAGCAGCACCCAAGCTCTCGACTGAGCTCAATTCCATGGGCTCGGGATCGCTGTACACACCGGTACCAACGAGATGCGACTGCAGGAACAACAGCAGCATTGCTGCGATGATCTGCCTCCCCATGAACATCATCCTCATCGTGGCGGTGTTCTTCTTCTTGTGGAGTACCAGACTACTTGTGGTTGTACGCCTCTTGGAGGTACGTTCGAGGTTGTCGAATGCACCCGGAAATGCTGCACGCGTGCAGGGCTGACCTTCAGGCCGTTCATGAAGACTGTTGTCTTGAGGTTTTCTAGCAGCGGATTCTCTGCCAGAGATGCCACCAACGTGCGCATCGCTTGCACGTACTCGCGCTGCTCACGTTTCTGTTGCTTACACGCGAGAAAGCGCGAGCTCTGGCAAAGTGCATCGTTCGCCGGTAGAAACGCGGCTCGAAGCTGTCCCCATAGCTGAGCCCAGGATGCAAACCATCAGATATGTATCTCCTGATGTATGCCCAGTGATGGCACGTCACAAGTTGGACAGTGAAACATCCACCCAAATGGGCTCGTCCGAGACGAGACCCGCCTTCATGGTGATCTCAACCTTACGGACCCAGAAGTGATGGTTTTTCTCCTTCCTTTCTCTCAAACACGGGGACCTTCAACCTTACCAGCTTAGGCCTGGTTGCCAGGAGAGCGGCCATTGAGGCCTCTAAGCTCAGTGAGCGATGAGACCACGCTCGTAGGTCTCAAACGCGGTCACGAGCTCGTGTTGTGCTCGGCAGGCCCCGCCTCTACCAAGTTCCGGAGGACATCTTGCCCAAGATGCCTCCTATCTTCCGAACGGACTCGTACTGCAAGTCGTCGTTCAAATGAGAAAACTCACTTCGGTCCATCGTGACTTGAATGTAGAGACCACATAGGATTAAGATAGTTCATATCTACCCTCGAAGGTGTAGGATTGGCTACAAGTTCTACCAAGTGTGACGGGGAACACGAGCACCTTGCACAGAGAAAGTGCTTAAGGGTATTCACTACTCGTGTAAACGTGAGTTCACGCGTTCCCGGCCTCAGAAAGAACGGTTTGCTACTTAGAAGAGGAGATGTAAGACTAATGTATTTATAGGTAAGCTTGGTTTGAGCTCTCATACAAAGTAGACGTCACTTCATGAACCCCTGGTATCGTGTATCAGGTTCCATAAGAGTGACGGGTCACTCTTTATGCAGCCTGGGGGATAGTGTAACGGTACAATTCGGTGTACACAGCAATCGAAGATTAAGCATCAGTATTTTCACGCAAGCACAAACAACATGCAGAACCCTCGCGCAACTTCAGGCGCGGCTTGACGTGGCCGTGAGGACCTGCTTGTCACGGGATTGATTATCGGGCAGTGGCCATCTTTTGGACCAATGGTCACGCCGCTTGTGACTGCGATGTACCGCCTCAATACCGTCTTATATTATAGCCTTACTAATTCGTTGCATCAACCTTGGCTGTATCACAGTTTTACCACCTGTATTTGTTTTTCCATTACGTGTCGTTGGTGTAGTGCTCCGGATGTATGCAAACGAATCGTCCCAAGCAGCGTCCGACTAGCAAATCTGGAGGCACCGCCCTCTCTCGTTCACTCATCTCCCTGCACGCGCTCAACGTTTGGCCCGACTTGGGCCCCCGAGGCCCGAGGCCATGACGACGTCAACCAAAATCTGAAGGCTGGACGCCAGGCATTCTCGAAAGCTCCGGCAGCTTGGCACATCCCATGAGCCAGCGCTTGTCAGTCTCACACGTCTCTGTGTCAAATCCTGCGACACCAGGGGTGGGTCCCGCCAATGCCGAAGACTACGATCCCACATCAGCGTCCAAGCGTGGCTCAGTGTGGCAGTGGGTCGTAGGCTGCGTCTTCCTCGTGTGTGTGGCCATCATCTCATCCAGTACATCTTCAACGACTTGTCCTTCGAGGCTCCATTCTTCCTCACTTCATTCGGCATGGCGCTCTTCTCCGTTAATCTCCCCATCTACTACGTGACCAAGGTGTGGCTCCCCCAGTTAGGCCGCGGTCTGTCGGGCTTGAGCGTGTCTGGCTTACCTCAGGTCAAGTCGGAGACGGGCACGGAAGTGAAGCAGACAGCGCACAACAAGGCAACGCTCCGTCGTACAGTGGTCGCCGCTGCCGTCGTTGCTCCACTCTGGTTCATCGCCAACTTCACGTACAATGAGAGTCTCAATCTCACCAGCGTCACTAGCAGCACCATCCTCAGTGCCACCTCCTCCGTGTTCACACTGATCCTCGCCGTATGGATCCTCAAGGAGCGTTTCACATGGCCCAAGGCGCTGGGTGTGGCGCTCTGCATGGCTGGCAACTGTTGCGTACAGCTGTAGGTAGTTGTTGATCTAGGCCGTCAGTTTTGGAAGTGAGATGGCATCGGCCATCTCTCCATTACATCCCTCGGCTTCACCTATCTTAGTGATGGGGCACGCGGCCTCTTTCTTCTTGAATGGCTAGGACGAGTTGCTGCCATCGCAACCAATAGCAGAGAGCTACACCATTATTGACCTATCATTTTACTTCATTTCTCTGCATACAAACTGAATGATATTGCGGCACAACACTCCCACTAAAGATGCTCACGTTCTCCATCATTTCTTCGTCACTAAACGTCTTCTCATTGTCACTCAAGATCCTTCTCGAGGGATGGTTTGTTACCACCTTGGTCCCAGATTTGCCTTGTCGCAGAACCCAAAATCTGATCCAATACTTTATCTTATATTCTAAAGAGACTTACTCTTTGTATTGTTTGTTGCCGATATTGGACTGAGCTCTTCACTCTCTCTTTTTCTTCCGAACTGCACAGGTGCGGGTCCCGACGAAAGCCCTTCGGGGGGGGGCATCCACAAGCTGCTTGTATCCTTCTTCGGCGACAGCAGACCGGCCTAAGCCACAGCGGCCATTCAGGTCCCGGCCTTTTGGCACCTCAAACGGTCAGCCAAGCGCCCATGATGTGAGCTCTGCAAGTAGAAAGTCCGATCATTCGGCCACTCGTGGGTGTCTAGTCTTAGACCAGTTGTGCCTTTCAGCGGCGGGAATTGAGAGAGTCAGGAGTGAAATTAACCGAAAGTTTGAGTAAAATGTACTCAAGAGCAAGTGGCTAATAGCCTGGACCTGTTCAATTTCCAAACTTAGGGCTAGGTGGCCATTAAACTTAAGGTTTTAACTTTAAACTAGTCTGTAACCAGAACCCTTTCCTTAAGGCCTTCCTTTACTGTAATCATTTTCCTAAACTTCTTAATAATTCCCTTAAATTGACAAGAACTTGTGTTTACACCAAATGACCGTCAATCTTTTATTTGAGGGACCTAACCTTATTTGAGGCGTGAAACTAAATTTGAGGCTGATGATTAACCCAACTCTTTTATCCCCATCATAGATCTGAGTTTTTCAAACTGTGTTTGGCTTAATGGCTTCGTAAGGGCATCAGCCACCATGTCGTTGGTGCTACAGTAATTCACAATGATACTTTTGTCCTCATGTTTGTCACGGGCATACAGATGACTGATATCAATGTGCTTGGTAGATGAGTGACTGCAAGGATCCTTAATGATACTTATTGCGGCAGTATTATCACACCAGCATTGGGTGGGTAGTACTTGGCCGTAGCCTAATTCTTTCAATAGTAGCCTCAACCACATCGCCTCTCGAACACCTTCACTGGCGGCTTCTATTTCAGATTCTGCTGTATGAATACTAATGCAATCTTGCTTAATACTTTTCCAAGAGATGCATGCACCAGCAAGTATTGATACATATCCTGTGATTGACTTCCTTCCTTCAGATGCATTCGCGAAGCTCGCGTCTGTGTATAGCTCTAACTTAGTGGTACTATTTCCATTGTACTCAATGCCATACTTCGACGTTCCTTTCAAGTACTTTAGTACTCGCTGAGCCGACCTCCAATTGGTCCTTTTATAGCTAGATAGATATTTACTAAGCTCTCTTACAGCATTAGCAATATCAGGTCTAGTACCTCGGACAAGATACATCAGTGAACCCACTAAACCTCTGTAATCGAATGGTTGGGCCGCTATCTGTTCTGGGTTCATATCCTTTTCCTTTTCTAATATAACACTTTTCGCTTATGGTGTGGGTTCTGTACTACAGTCTCGCATTTGATACTTTACCAGAAGATCGTTGATGTACTTCTGCTGTGAGATTCTGAGTGTTTTCTTTTGTGAATCTCTTTTGATCTCCATTTTTAGCAGGTGATGCAACTCGCCCAAGTCTTTCATTGTAAACTTTGCAGACAGTTTAGCCTTCAGATCGCTGATCGAGCTCAGATGTGAGCCCGCAATTGTCAGGTCGTCAACATAGACGCATATGATCAGAATGTGTTCAATCCCTTTGATATCCCACCGTCTTAGATACAAGCAATGTTCTTTCTTGCATCTAAAAAATCCTAAGCTGGTAAGAAACTCATTTAGAACGGCATACCAGATTCTGGGTGCCTGTTTTAACCCATACAGGCTTTTCTTCAACCTACATACAAGGTGCCCAGTGCCATGACGAAATCCCAATGGCTGCCTCATATAGATACTTTCATGTAGGATACCATTTAGAAAGGCTGTAGATACATCCATTTGGTGTAGCTCCAGTCCTAGAATTGTGGCCAATGCCAACAGCACCCGCAAAGACTCATAGCGGGCCACGGGAGCGAATACTTTCTTGTAGTCGATGCCATATAGCTGTGTGTTACCCTGAACAACCAGCCTAGCCTTAAAGCGGTCAACAGACCCATCTGCATGGTACTTGACATCAAACAGCCAGTGGCACCCAAGGGCTCTGCGTCCATTAGGTAATGGTACAAGTTCCCATGTATTATTACTCAAAAGGGCATCATATTCTGCTTTGATTGCAGACTCCCACTGTTTAGCGCAAGGACTTAGTCGCGCTTCCTTAATCGATTTCGGAACAGGGATTCTGTCCGGCTTATCTGACGCTACAAGATTTAGCTGGGTCACGTAGTCACTAAGCCTTACGTTGCGTGTTCGCTGCCGTTTTGATCGACGGACGTCACTGGTAGCCTGTCGCTTATCTCCCACTAGTCGGGATGTCGGTGGGTCAGTGACCGGTTCTGAGCTTTCGTCAGCCGGCACTTCACCTGCAACTGTGCCTCTTGGTTGTTTGCCTAGCTGACCGATAGCATGTACCTCTTCGTGATCAATGCTGGAGTCCTCATTGGGAAACGAGCGTCTGATCATAGCCTCTGTACCAGTCAAACTAAACTTCACATCTCTCGCTATAAGATACTTGTTCGCCTTCACATCAAGAAGACGGTACCCTTTGTATTTTGGTGAAAGTCCCAAAAGCTTGCACTCAATTGCCCTATCACCCAGCTTTGGGTCCTTCCTTTTTGATTTAGGAACATGTGCGAAACACTTTGAGCCCCAGATCCTAAATGCTAAACCACTGGGTTGTTTCCGATGTAACAGCTCATACGGGGTTTTCATCCCGAGCCTCGCCATAGGTAGTCGGTTTGTAATATCGACAATATAGAGTAGAGCTTCGGGCCACCACTTTGCTGGCATATTGGCCCCTCGAAGTGTACAGCGCACACCAGCCATCATGGTTTGATGTGCTCTTTCAGCACTCCCATTTTCTTCTTGGGATTCGACGTTAGAGCTTTGGAAATCTAGACCGAGTTTAGAACACAGTTTAGAAACCTCACTGTTTAGGAACTCAGTCCCACCGTCTGTCCTAATTCTGCGAACCTTAAATAAGGGAAACTGTACTTCCAACTGTTTTAAGAGGGTCCGGATTTTGCCTCGAACCTCTTTCAAGGATTTTACTGCAAAATACCACTTATAGGCAGTGGCATCATCTACCACTGCAAGGGCATACCGATAACCGAAGGAACCATACAGTCCATTAACCCTCAACCTTCCAGTAGAGTCCATGTGCAGAGTGTGCTGTTGATTTGTTTCCTATCAAATTCCTGTAGGACATTCTGCGATCCTTCATTGAGGCGCATGTACTACAAAAGAATGAAACTTTCTTGAGTTCTGAGTAAGAGAGGTTAGGTAACCCCTTTAGTTTCTGATTGCTCATGCTTCTAATTAGGCGTTCTTTGCCCACATGGCCTAATCTCAGATGCCATTCCTTTAGTATGTCTCCAACTTTGCTTAGTTGAGCATTAAAAGCACTCTTTCTAGCTGGTTTCGCGCTCGGTAAGTAGTAGACTTCGCCTATTGCCACAGCTGCAAACAGCAATTTAAAGTTCTTTTCTAAAAAGAACAGAAAATCACCTGATTTAGACTGTAGGTGTCTATAACCGTGCCGAGCAAGGTAATATGAACTGAGTAAGTTGCTATCACACTGTCGGTCAAACGAAATATCTGTCAATGATATATCACTTAATCTTCCTTTTGGAGTCAAAACGCTAAGTTTTATTGATCCTTTAAGAGAGCTGTGTGAAACAGTTCCATTACCGTAAGTGAACACGGTATTCTGGCCAGGTCGGAGCTTCCCAGTAAACCAGCTTCTGTCTGATGTTATAGCTCGGCCTGCACCAGTGTCGACCACCCACATATCATCGGTTACGGTTAACCGCTTTAACGTTTTTAAGTACGATGCATTTTGTTTACGTACCTCATCTTCGAGCTGGTCCATATCTTGGAGAGCCTCATTTGGGGTCTGGGTTGAGTTACCCATGTCCTCAAAATCCTCATGGAGGGCTGGGTTTAAACTCTCAATGTCGTCCATAGCCTCATCCTCCATGCACTCCTCCAACAGCGTCTTTCCGTCCTTGTTGACGTGCGTCTTGCCGTCCTTCACAACCGCTGTGATCGTGTTGATAGCGGTCGTCCTGCCCTTTTTGGCCTTCTTTGCACCTGGTGCCGTGTTAACGTCGGTGCGGAAGAGGGGTCCACCTGAACGGTTGGGGTCCCTGTCGGCAGCCATAGTCGGGCAGTTCGCCTTGAAGTGTCCCGTCTGTAGGCAGTAGAAGCACTTGCCACCCTCATTGCCACCCATTTTTCGCTTTTGCCCACCATTCACCCGCACGTTGCTGATGGTGATCGGGTGGGACTTATCCATAAGACCCACTTCTTTCTTGGACTTGTCTCCAAATATCTTGCGCAGTGCGCTCTCGACCTGATCGATATTGAAATCGCCCTTCTTCAGCGAGATCGAAGAGGCCCAGAACTCGCTAGGCAGCAGTGAAAGGACCTCGACACACACCCAGGACTCTGTCACCATTTCCTCATCGAACAGCTTCTTTGTCTTTCTATTGATTTCGCTCTTAGCCTTCTTCAGTTGCGCGAACAGCGACCTTAAGTCGCGCCATGGGCCGCGTGTCAACTTAGCCCAGGCTCTCATCAAGTCGATGAGGCCAGCCGCGTCACCCTGACCGAAATCCTTTTCCAGGAGCCGAATCACTTCGCTGGGGTCCATTGAGGACACCACGTCCGGCAACGTGTTTAGGAAGAAGTATGGGAGGACTTGGTTGATGAGGTTCTGAAGGTCTCCTCTTCCTCTCATCCAGTGCATCATGTCCCATTTGATAGAGAGCGCCTCTTGCTCATCCATAGTATTGGTCGGTGATGGTGGCTTGTCCGGACATCCCCGCAGGAAGTCCGCCATGAGCACCTTCGCTTCAGGCTGGCCCTTTTCCAGCTGCTTGCGTTGGTACTGATGGTCGAGTTGATTGACGTGCGTCAAAAGCTTGTCTTTCCACATTGTGTACGACTTGCCCTTAAACTTCTCGAGTCCACCGCCAGACTTAGCATCGGTGGACATCGGAGTACTTGAAATGTTGCGTACAGCTGTAGGTAGTTGTTGATCTAGGCCGTCAGTTTTGGAAGTGAGATGGCATCGGCCATCTCTCCATTACATCCCTCGGCTTCACCTATCTTAGTGATGGGGCACGCGGCCTCTTTCTTCTTGAATGGCTAGGACGAGTTGCTGCCATCGCAACCAATAGCAGAGAGCTACACCATTATTGACCTATCATTTTACTTTATTTCTCTGCATACAAACTGAATGATATTGCGGCACAACAGCAACTGCACCACGTTGGCAAAGGACTCTCAAGGCGGCATCTCGGAAGGTTTCTGGGGTGACGTTTGCGCCCTCATCGGTGCCATCATGTACGGCGTGTACACTACCGCGATCCGCAAGTTTCTCCCGAACGACGCTGGGATGAGCGTGTCACTCTTCTTCGGCTTCGTCGGTCTCTTCAGTCTCATCGTACTCGCCATCTTCTGCATCGTCTTCAACTTCACTGGGGTGGAGTCGCTTCATGGTCTCACGTGGGAGATCGTGGGTCTGCTCTTCGTGCAAGGTCTGCTGAACAACGTGCTGGCTGACTATCTCTGGGCTGTGGCCATCATGTACACGTCCACCACCACGGCCACCATCGGACGGTGCCCATGGCCATTTTCTCCGACTGGATCGTCAACGACATCAAACCTGGTTACATCACGTTCGTCTCGTCTGTGCTGGTGCTTGGCGGCTTTGTCGTCCTGGCCGCCACCACTCGTAAGGAACAACTGAGTGCCGGAACTGAGACGGAGCCCTCGAACGCTGAGGTTCCCTCGCCAAAGTCCCCCACCACTCAGTACCGAATGGCCAAGGAGTAAGCTAAGTTCACGTAGTCAGCCTCCTCGTATCAGTATGAAATGACCGTACACGTACTGTGATCCAAACTTAAAGGCGTGTTGAGTTTCAATACTGTAGCGAACGTGCTCTTGAGAACATGTTGACGGTACGAAGAGGCGTGTGCCATTTCAATACTTAAGGCACAGCTTCCTGTTCTTGTCAACCATGGACGTGATGATGAGTATGACGACGGACGATGTGCGTACGCTACGGGGCCAATTCACAGAGAGTCTGGGGCTGGAAGCTTTCGTGCGGCTTATGAAGAAGAGTCTACGCGGTCGGATTGAATCTGATCTCGACTTCGTCGTTGGTGTGATCGAGTTATTTCATACCATCGATGTAAACGGAGACGCGGTCTTGGACTGGGACGAATTCACGGGCTACATGTTGGACGCCGGACAAGCAGCCAAAGCCGATTCCTACTTCGAAGGTCGTGGACGATCAACCAAACATTACGTCCCACTGGCAATCCTCCCGCCAGACTCCAAGACACCACTACGACATATCACTTCACGAGTCCAGCAAATGAGGCTGCTAGCTGAGCAGAATGCGGTGGCCTACTTTGAAGCGAACTCGGACGTTGTGTGCCTTTACGCTCTACAGTTCGACCGTAACGACGGCCCTCGACACCTCTCCACCTTGCGCTTACACACAGCGTTCCAGGAACACACTGTCATCGACGTTGTCTACGTGTCCACTCGTAAGTCTCTAGTTACGTCTTCAGTGCTAGTCCGAGGCTATTTGAGCGTTTGGAGCGTGACAGATCTACACAACCCAGTGATGACACACCGTTTGGAGTCTCTCGCTGCTCAAGAGCATTTGTGCTGGATTCCCTCGCTTAAATGTTTGGCGACCTCAGCTGTGATGGTCCCTTGTATTCATTCTGGTAAACCGTCAGATCCCCAGCGAGATTGCTATCGCCCGAATGCTGGCATCGACCAGCCTCACACTACGATCAGTCAACTAGAACTCTGGGATATATCCGGTAAGACTCGAGCACCTCCTCCGGGTACGATCGCTACAAAAGAGGTGACGGTAGTGCAAGAGCGACTGAAAGGTGTCACTGCAGTCGTGGCTTTTCGATCTCTCACTCGCACATATCTTGCAGCCGGTCGCGAGGACGGAATATTGAGCGTCGTGGATACTGAAAGTGGAGACGAAGTAGGCACTTTTGATGCCCATGGAAGTGGCGTTAAGGCTCTCGTGTATTCGAGCGAGGTGGAGAGTATCGCTAGTGTTGGTTTCCACTCGTACGCAGATGAGACTTCACTACATATCTCGACCTGGAAAAAGACGAGTTCAGGTGGAATGCTGACACGCGATTCCACTCTCAGGCAACATCAAGCGCCTGTGGAATTACTCGCCTTCGTGGACTCGAACCACCAGCTCATTAGCGTAGATAGAACGGAGACCTTTATCGTCTACTCGAGTGTGATGCGAACGCCGACGTCAGAGCCGTGGGAGTGTCTTCAAACCTTCCAGTACTCGCCACCTCCCGCCTCCAACTGGCATTTACCTCAGAAGATCTGGAGCATGTTTGTAGTGCCTGAAACAGCGGCGAGTGATCCGGTTCTAGTCACGGCAGGAACTAGAGTGAAATTCTACGATTTTTGCGAGATTAAAGTCCGAGAGGAAGTTTTCTTTGCGCATTATTGCAGTGCGTTGAATGTGGTTGTTGGAGCCACAAGCACAAAGTTGCTACTGTGGAAAGGAGACACGGGGGTCCTTTGGAAAACATACGAGTACGCGGGGATTGTCATGGCGAATAATAGCCCGATTGCGACTAGCTCGCTACTAAAAATGAAGCAAACTACCGATCCGGCATCTCGTGAAGCTCAAGATCGAGCCATCACCGCAGTGTGTGTGGATGACCGAGAACGTAAGATTATTGTCGGGGACGATACAGGGTGCATCAAGGTGGTGAATGCTGTGAACGGGAACGTGATGAAGGAGCTGAATCCCCATACTCACTGCATAGTGGACGTGTCGTATGTCTTGTACGGAAAGCGCGTTACCTCAATCTCTTCGGACTCAATCCTGCACATCAGTGATGAGAACAATCCCCAGGGCTTTTACGTACCTTTCGGAGGTGGCCCCGTTCAGTCTGTGTTGCTGCAGTCTCTTCGCTTCCTTCCGGAGGTAGAGCAGACAGAAACGGAGACACTGCGCACTACCAGACCGGAGAAATATTTGATCCTGAGAAGTACGGGGAATGAGGCTCTGAATCTCGTCGCTGTGCTGGTTGCGAATCCCCGAGGCAGTAACTTCGTCCAAGTGTGGAATTTCGACATCAGTCACCCACAAGGAACGTGTCTGTGTCCGCAGAACTGTGGGGATATCACGTGCTTGAGTTTCTGCGGCTCAACTGCTGACATTGTCGGTGGCACGTCGACTGGACGTGTGTTTCTGTGGTCTCCAATCCGAGGAACCACCTCGTATAGATGCATTAAGGAGCTGTCCAGTGTGCCTGCAGCCCAGGAAGCGGAAGAAGCTCGAATAAATACTGTTGTGACTCATATCCTCACCGCCTGTGTCCCCGACACCATCCAGGAGAACGGACCTACAGCTTCTGATGAAGCTGAAAAGTCGACAACTTCACCTCCCAAAGCACGGATGAATTATTACTCGAGCAGACCGATACTTGAGGATCGTCTTCGACAAGAACAACAATATGGAGTGCACGTCTTTGCAAGCGATGAAACAGGTTTCGTCACTCAGTGGCACGTGCAGCAGCACTCGCTGACGTATACGTCACTTCAAACTGGCAGACCGTCGTCCAGCAATGGTAAGGCGCGACGGGGTCGCGTAGGCGACTCAGGAACGGATGCGACAGCGTTCCAACACGAAGAAATGGCACTAAGTTTCGACTCGCTCGCAGCTCTGTATCACCACGGCCGGATGAAGAAAGCAATCAATTGTTCTCCACTTGAAGAAACTGAGGAGGCACTTGACGTTGTGACAGCGATTCGGCAGTGGAGAGCTCACGGTGGCCCTGTATTGTCTTTGGAAATGGCTACAGATCCCTTTGCGGTGGTGACGTCTTCTTTTAGTGGACAGATCAAGCTCTGGGGCGTAGACGGAAAGCTATACGGTGCACTGGACCATTTTGCCACTCGACGAGCTCCACTTAACTCTCCGTGGGACTTCCCAGTTGATATGAAGGCACGTCGACAGCAACTGGAGGAAGAAGCGAGAGAATTGCTGCAGAGACCATCAGGGTCAGCTTGGAAGAAGACGCGAGTGTCAGTGCTGGAGGAGAGATTGTCCCTCACAACGCAGGACTTTACCTTTAAGCACGAGCGACTGAAAACTCGGAAAAAGAACGCTCGGGCATCTGAAGTGGGCCGTGCCGTGCGTAATTTCATCCTCAAGCAAACGACATCAGGAGTGAGTACTAAGCGGAAGGCTCCTTCCTCTGCGATCCATCAGAACACTTCATCTCTGCGTGCGTTGGGCCTTTTGCAATCGCTTGTGACAGTTGACTCTCTTTAATCATGTTGTTTTGCTGCTCTCTTCAGACTCGGTCTTGAGAGAACTGGACGAGTTGCAATTGCACACAGAAGGGAGGACCGAGTGTTCAAGTAGTCGGCCTGATAGACCGGACTCTCGAGGTAAGAAATACGCGATGGTGACACTTGCAGACGTGAAATCGACCTTGCTACGTCCTCGCACATCGAGCAGCACGGTGCACTGCGGATTGCCATCGAAACCGCCGACCAACAACCAACGAAAACATCTTCAAGCCAACAATCAAGCTGGAGACACTCGGTCAGTCAAACGGTACGTCACGTCAGCCCCTTCCTCCACAATGAGCCGCATGGAGCTCGTCGAATATCTCTGGCAAGGAGCGAAGACTTCCAACCAAGACAAGGAACCAACCGCCAGCTCCAGTGGCAAGTACGTGGTTGACCAGAACGAGAAGCCTCGAAAGGATAACGTCCTTCGATATCATGTCAAGATGGCTCACACATGGCAGCCATATCAAAAGTGGTAACTTTAAAAAAGGAAAAAAAGAGATAACTTACATTCATTAGGTTTCTGGTGCTTCTATCGCCTGGCTTCGGCTTGGAGCTTTTTTATTTCCTGGATGAGTTGATTTTTCATTTGTCTTGCTGACCAAAACCGGTGGCGACCTCGTTGATCCTTGCTTGTTCGCGTCTGCTGCATCGAAGGAAGAGCTTATTACTGATCTGGGTTTGGTTCGGGAGCACGACACGGTGCGTAGGCATCGGAGCAGCAGGTGTACAGTGCAAGACCCCAAATAAAGCTGACTCCACACGGGGACTGGACTGCTTGTAGTAGTAGAGAAGAAGGCCACGAGAACACAGAGCGACTACGTACGAGGCTCCTGCTTCAGCGCATGTGGTTCATCACAGCGCGCAGACCATACATGAGTCCAGCCTGTTTGCGCGCCTCAGCGACTAGCAGAATGACGTGACACTTCTCCGACGGACTGAGCGTACGATCGAAGTGGGCAAAGTCTTCCTCTCGCACCTTCCAGGGGGTACACGCCACTTTCTTGAGGAAAATCTTGGTCGGTCGGTTCAGATACGTGTTCACCTGTCTGTAGTCGTAGTCGTCGTGGCAAATGCCGAAGATACGGTGCACATAATACCACACAGCGTCACGATAGGGACCCGTGTCCACAAACTCCTCCTTCTGCGCCCCAAAGTAGTCATACGTGAGCTTACTCGTCAGATTAAACAGGTCTTCAAGGATCTGGCCAGCTTCGCCGGGGAAATACCTCTTTACAAGAGAGAAACAGTGCTCGTCCCAGCTGAAATCCTCCGTGTGCAGCACTTCGTACTCCTCCGACCGCACGTCAAAGTCCGTATAGCGAATGGCGCTGCCCCCACAGAATCTCCACAACGTGTCTTTCCTGCGTCCAACGGTAGCGTTGATCCCGTAATCGGCTTCATCCACGGCGATCTCGAAGCCGTCAGCTGCGTAATCTTCTTCTTCCTCGTCTCCTTCTTCTCCTAGTTGCCCATCAGCTGCTTCCTCCTCCTCGTCGGCCGTGTCGCTGTCCAGTCCGCTGTTCTTCTTCAGCTGTTTCAGCAGCATCTCGTCGTCGCGGTCGATGGTCGACAGGTCGACGCTGCTGCAGCTGCTGGCGTCTATTGCTTCCTGGTTGTCCACGCCCTCGGCTGAGGCCGCCTCGGCGTCTAAAGCGTATCCGAACTGTCCAAAGACTGCGAGATCCACTTCTTCTGCACAGCCGACGCCCAGCGCGATGCTGGCCATGGAGTGAGCCTGACAGAGCACAATAATGGCGTGTACCAGCTCCGAGACGGACCACGAGTCGGCCTGATCCGAGCGAAGCAGCTCCGCCACGTGATCGGCAGTCAAAAGCCAGGGGCGATGCGCCAATAACGAGCTCAGTTCGTGCAGTCTGAAGAGCTTGGGGGCACGTAGTCGAGCCCCTTCAGCCACTCGCCATCTCCGCCGTTAACTACGAAGTTGTATTGCTGCAGATCGGCCAGGTAGTGGCACCGGATCTCACTGGCGCCCATGACGGCGATGTAGCTGCGCCATTGAAGCGGCAACGTACCGTCACGCGTCATCGTAGCAGCCAGACTGCGGTCGAACAGCGCGAGGTAGGTGCGGTGCCACGCCAAGATCTGCGTGAGATGCGTCACGCGGCCTGTACGAAGGAAGGTCTTCTGGAAGAGTGTGCACAGTTCGTCGTCCTCCTCGGCGTCCACGCGCGGCACAGGCTCGGCATCGGCGTCCTCGGGAGCATCGCCGTTGGGGAAAAAGTGCGATACCCGTGTCTGGAGTGCACGCAGTTCTTGCGTCTCGGGGAACTTTTGCTCAACAACGTCCACGACCTGTGCGAGCACATCACGGATAGCAGGGAAGGGCGCGTCCAATGTCAAGCGTAGAGCGGTGGGGAAGAAGTCGGTCACGAGTGTAGCGTCCCCGCCGTCCAGAAGCTCTTGCAGCTCGTCCGAGATCCGCGCGGCCATCTGCTGCTGCACATCGGCGTCTGATACGAGTACGCGGCGAAAGAAGACGTCCCTCTTAACGCCCACGCGGCGCGCAGCCTCGGCGAACGAGAGCGGCTCCATGCAAAGACTTGAAGTGGGTATGGAGCTCTTCGCGTTGACAGGCCAGGCTCAAGTTGTGGAATGGACACACTTTTTAGCAAGCGGGGAGATGGCATCGACTTACAGCCAATGATAGAAGAACATATCAGAGCTTCTAACCAATCAGCGCTAGTATTTTGCTGCATTAGGCAGAGAGTGGCGTCGTCGGGCCGGGAAGAATTGGATGGCCCTGTCTGCCTCAAGTTCGGAGAGCGAGCCCTCTGGCGCCACACTCGCGAAGTGGCGAGCGGTGGTGGCGATAAGATAGTCAGAAGTATTGCCACCACTGCTGTATTTGGCAAATACTACTACATGTAGTATTTGCTGCCACGAAATGTATATGAATTCGAGAAACACGCGTTGCTGCCAGCCATGGAACTTTTCTATTGGCGGGAAAGATTACGCGGAGCCGCTGCGACGACTTGGCTTGACTATGGACTCCCTGATTCTCTAGACTAGGTACGAAAAGATGGCGAGACTCTCAGTGAGCGAATCCGACCGTCTTGAGCTTCCACACTGCGACAAAGCAATATATGCACATATTACTTCTTGACTTCTATCCGACTTGAAATCTTCTCAATGAGAAGTTGCAAGCTCTGCAGCTCGAGTACTGGGCGCCTCAGCCACAAGTTGGACGCCGTGTTTAGCTGCAAGTTCAACGCCATCAGCGAAAATCCAATACTGAACGCAAGTGTTTTCAAAGTCGCTAAAAGCAAGCCTATGCGACATGCACAACAACTGACTTGCTTTTCAGCTGCATACTGCAGGACAGTCCTCTCGGCTGTGATTATAAGTTATATTTTATAACATACTGAAGCTATCAGATCATGTTCGAGGGATGATTTGCGCAGAGTTGTTAGGGCAGTACAGTATGGAGTGAGGACAAAAGTAGAGTGGTCTAGGCGGCCATAGTGAAGAGGAAGTCTTGAGTGTAAAAGGAGAAGACGCTTGTGTTGGACTTGGTAAAAGAAGAAGTGATGAATTATAGAGTCTAGTGTTCTGGAGGGGAGTTACTCTCCACCAACCAGTCCAGTTATTTACGATTTCTCTATATGCAATAGTGCAGTTATATTCGACTAGATAGTCATCATTACATCGGAGATGCTTACTTCGACAGATCAAGCTTCTTATTTAAAACTAGAAGAACCGTGCGATTCCTTCGTGCATCAGAGACTGACTGCAAGCGTCAAATGCGCCCGTATCTCCCTGCTTTTTACACTGGTTGAGCTGACATCACCACACCCGCTCAGCACCAAGCAACAATACCGTCGATTACTTTTTCACAAATCGCCCGAACGTCTCTCCAGGCAGCACCTACAGCTAAATGACTACTGTACAAGTATCACTGATACATCAGGTGGGGATTTAGTTGATCAACCAAGCAAGGATGCAAGCAGTGAAAGTGACTTCTGAATTCCATTGACCATCCTTTTGTGTCCGATTCATTTCCTTAGTTACTACCCTTTGTTTAGTGATAATTCAGCTTTTCAAATCTCTAAGCAGTAACGAGAGGATAGTGGGAAATTTTAGGCCGTGTTCGCGACCCCTCGAAAACGTAGTTATCTCGGTCGAAACGACGTTTGGGACTAAGTGCGCGCTCGCGCCCTCGAAACGCAGTTTTGGTCGCAAAACGTCGTTTCGGACCCCATTTTCAAATTCATGCCCGGAGGTGAATTTTGTTTGGCTCGTATTTGGCTGGGGCCTAAAGCGACGCGTATCCCCTCAGCACACTGACAAGATCCTGTTAGGCGCCAAAGTTTGCCATTTTTGCTTTTGCGCGCACTGCAAAATCCTCCCCCTAACGACCCGAAGGTGTTCTCGATGAGCACACGAGACGATGCTGCTGCTGCCCAGCGTGCAACGTGGACTAGGGGCGAGGAGCTTGCACTGTTGGAGAGGTACTTTGAGGCACGAAAGGACCCGTCAAAGGCCACGGATAAAGGTGTCAAATCCAAGGCGTGGGAGGAGATCAAAACCACTTTGAACACCAAGCTCAAGAAGACTCTGAACAAAGGTAGCGGAAGCTTTTTAGCTAAGGTACTGCGTTTCTAATGTCGTTCAACAGGGCAATACAAGTCCAAGGTGCAGCGTCTGATGCAAGACTACGATTTATTCAAGGAGATTACGTCGCTGAGTGGATGCGGTACCTGCCCTCAAACGGGGAAACCTCTTCTTGATGACGACGTCTGGGATAAACTGATCGACGCCAAACCAACCAAGCTGCGAGGTCGCATCAAGGAGATGCGTAAGAACGACTTTGAACACGAGACCATCTGCAGTCTAATTGCAGGTAAGCGATGCATTATTTTCTCTGAAATTAAACTAAACTCGTCTGTGCAGGTGATTCAAGAGCGACAGGTGCGGATGCGGAAAGCGTTGAGAGCCTGCTTGGCCAGCTGGAAGACGCCACGAAAAAAAGAAGAGTCTGCATTACCGCAGCCCAATGAGACTTTACTTCCCGACAGTGGCGAGCAAAGCTCTGTGACCACCCCCGCTGCCGCGCAAGACCTCCACCCAAGTCACGAGCGTCGTGTCCAGACCGTAAAGCGTATCCGTGATGGAGCTTCAAAGACGCGCCGCAACAAAAACCGAAGGCAGTCACCTTCTGGAGACTTCAATGAGGAACTTGGTGCGCTGTTAAAGACTTTTACCGTCGACATCAAGTACAAAATGCGCCAAGAAATGGGTGACCAAGCCCCACAGTCCGACTCCGCAGCTTTTGCTGCATCGCCTTCGTCGGACGACTGAGCTCGAGATGGCGTATGATGACACGGGCTAATAACAGTCCAAGGTAACGTGCACGGGTGACCAACATGATAGTTTCATTTTCATCGTTCTCTTCAGGGACTTTAGTAACGTAAAGATGCTTTTTTCATGCTTATTACTCGCTTACAGAACCACTTTCACTGCCGGAACTGCTTTCTTTGTCAGAATCACTCGTACCACTTAAAATTTCATCCTCGGGTATGTCGCTGTCATCTTCATTACCCGAGAATTCTTGATACTCCTCCCACATTGTGCCTGCCATCCAAGATCGCCAATTGTCAGAAGTGTCGAAGTCATACGGAATCGGATCAAAAGTTTCATTTACAGCACGGTGACGACGCGTATCTCGACGAGAAGAGGCGAGATCGGACCCAAGGTCCGATGCATCATACTCACGGATAAAATTGTGCGTTAAAACACAAGCGTAAATGACAGATTTTATCGTCTTCATTTCGTAATCCATACATGGGCGGAGGACCTTAAAGCGACGCTTTAAAACTCCAATGGTACGCTCAATAACATTGCGAGCCTTCGCATGTCGTAGGTTAAAAAGTTCTTTTGGGTTGCGTGGGCGACCAGCATCACTAGTCGCCCACTCCTTCAGGTGGTATCTTACCCCTCGAAAGGGAGTTAACACCTGTTTACTTAGGCCATATCCAGCATCTCCTAGAGCGTAAAAGGCTCTGGTAATTGGTCGAGCAGAGAACTCCATCGTAGTACAGTCGCATCATGCGCACTTCCCTCAGCTCCCGCATAAGCAAAACAAATTTACATACTCCAGTTACAAAACACTAGCACATTGGTCGTGACAAAACCCTTGTGGTTTCTAAAGCGAGCTGTATCCTCAGTGCTCACAACCACTTGAAAGTGCGTTCCATCAATTGCCCCCAAGGCCTGGTGATAATAGGGGCGCTTCAACAAGAAAAACGATGGAACCTGCTTAGGTATCTCCATCGAGCTGTTTATCGCACGCAAATCGCTCGGGTACCTCGGATTCTATATTTGTGAATCGTAGAAAACGTTAGATCAAATAGCACCTCTTGCATGCGGCATGTAGATGCCGTTCCAATCCAGTGGAGAGCCACCGCCAGTACCTCACGTTGGTTGCGGACGGTGTCAACGATGAACGGTTGGCAGAGCTCGAACAATGTGTCAAATGCGGCCACGTCCATCCTGAAGTGATCCCGAAACAGGAAGGAATTTCTCGATGAGTGAATGGCGTCAAAGAACCGCTGTCCGTCTGCCGTCATCAGACCTAGTACGCGCACCATATTCTCGTGAGCAGCCCGCCTCGACAAGCGGTGGTTCTGCACCAGTCGAGCACACACAACAGCAACAAGCAACAGGAAGATTTCGTCCAGCATTCTTTGTGAAGAGGCAGTCCGTTTGTCCAGGTGTGGGTGGTCAGGGTAAACGCTGGTTGCGTGCGAACAATAATTGAGCGAAACGACGTTTCACATCGCTGGCCAAATCATCGTCAAAAATAGATTACAGCTCTGAAACGCAGTTTTAGTAAAAACGTCGTTTGCCGCGAACACGGCCTTAAGTTTGCCGTTATTTGCAGTTGCATTTGTGAACCCAATTTCTTTTCATCTGGAGAATATCACGATCGAGAGGATTGTCTACTCAAAATTTTCTTTCTTTAAATCAATTCTTTTGAGATTAAAATTCTCGGTAGTATATTTCTCCTTAGCAGTTCTTCTCATGATACTAGAGTGGTTTAGCAGCAGGAACTTGTGTGAGTTGTAGACTAGCGCCAATCACACAACCCTAATCACACTGCCGCACACGTTGGTTTGCCAGCGAAGCATTTTGCAGAGCGAACGCGAGCTCTTATCCGTCCTTGGTGTATACTACATTTGCAAAGCACACAAGCCAGTCAAGATGCTCGAGGAGAGCTTAGTCCTCGCAGCGACCACTCTGAACCTCGTCCTCGTCGAGGACGCCGCTGTGCTCTTCGCCAGATCTCCTATTCCACGACCAGTCCTCACACTGAAGGGCAACTTCAATTTCAACGCATTAAGCGACGGAGACTGTCGTTTTAATTTCCGATTCTGGAAGCGTGACGTAATTCGGCTGCACAAGGCGCTGCGGCTTGAGGAAGACTACAAGCTACCGAGCTGCCTTCGCGTTGGTGAAGTCGAGGGTCTCTGTGTGTTGCTGCGCCGGCTCGCGTACCCTGGACGGTACGGGGATCTTGCTGTGATGTTCGGCAGGTCGCCTAGTGCGCTGTGCCTGATCTTTCGCTTCATGGTGGAC